CACTACGCAGAACTGTGGAAAGAACTGCATCACGTTAGTTACTCCAAATAATAACCACAAGTTTTAACAGCTGTACTTTGAAGTAGCACCGTCATATTTCATGAATGCAACATTCCTGTTCTTCTCATTAGTCTATTCTGTCATATTATTTTCTGTTCCTCAGTGTCTAGACTAGCCAGTATGGACCAGGCGATCCACAGGCTGGATGTGGGTCACTACACTCTGGATGTAAAAGTCAGTCAGCTAATGGACCGTCTGACCAGGGTGGATGGTAAGACGATCACTCTCTCCCACACATCTTCCAATATAATTTCTCTTCATGGACTTATTTCCCAGTCCAACAATTATTTTCCTTCAGTCAGTTTCATGGTAAAATAGTCATACTGTATGATGATAAATGCATCGCCCATCTCTGCTAAAACGTGAACTATCTGCAGTGAGATGCATCCAAATAGAGTCATCACTGGTGTTGATATTGCCCAAAGTGAAAGAAGCCAGATGAATGAAAACTAAACAATGAATTAAATGTAAGAAAGTTAATGGGCGGAACTACATTTGGTGTCCTCCACACACACACACACACACACACACACACACACACACACACACACACACACACACACACACACACACACACACACACACACCACACACACACACACACACACACACACACCACACACACACCACACACACACACACACACACACACACACACACACACACACACATCACATCACTTCAGGGGTCTTTACATTGACTTACATGCATTTCCTGGAGACTTATCCTGGCCTTAACCATAACCAACACATGCCTAACCCTAACCAAGTCTTCACCCTAAAATGATGTCCCCATAAGGGAGGCGAGTCCCCACACGTGACTGTGTAAGCATATTTAGGTCCCCACAAGGATAGTAATGCTAGGCCACACACACAAACACACACACACACACACACATGCACGCACGCACACACACACACACAAACTTGACCTACATGGCAAACCTCCGCCTCCCTAGGGCAAAAACTGTTGCCACCAAATACTTGGAAAACGTTCTAGTACAGAGCGATCCAGCACCAGACACTTTTTGTGCTTCTATGGACAGTCTTGCAACTAATGTACATTCCCAAAGATATTGAAGTGGACTGTTATTTTGTATATATTGATTGTTGTGTTTTTATCTAATGTGTGCATATGTATAAATGTGCCGGTTGATTGTGTATATATAGGATTTACATACATATTTCTATATATATTTGTATTTTTGTATTCAGGATTGTGGGAAACGGTATTTCGATCTCTCTGTCTGTACACACAAACTGATAAATTGACAATAAAGTTGACTTTGACTTGAGCTATAGAGCAGCTGTTTGCAGTTAATAGGAAGATGCATTTTTCTGACTCTTTTTTTGTGTTTCCCTATCCAATAACATGGCAGCTAGGGTGGAGGAGCTGGAGGACAGCATCGCGGAGGTCTACCAGCACAGCAAGGTTCAACCGCAAAAGAGATGGGAAGATGGAAGGTAATGGAGATATGTTCCTACAAACATGACTCCAAGTTGATGCCACTTCAGAATCAGAATCAGAAATATGCTATTTATCCCGAGGGAAATTAGGTTTTTGAATAAAATAAAATAAAAGACTAAATATAATAAGTTAAAGGTAGGGTAGGTACATTTGAGAAACCGGCTCGAGATACACTTTTTGTTATATTCCATGGAATGCTCTTAACATCCTGATAGCAATGAATATCTGAAGTGCTTTGACAAAAAATACATAAAAAAATGTCATCTGTGGAAGCCGTAATACTGTAAAAAGCACGACCAATCATCTGAGCCGGCCCGACTAAAATAACTGGATGGCCTACCTGCCTGTCAGCCTTCCATCTGTGCACAAACTTATCTCGTGTCCTCATTGGTCATGTGCGCGTTCGTGTGTGTTGGAGGAGGGGCTCTGTAAGGAAGTGGCAGATTTTTTCCGGTTGTGTATTTTCAAATTCTAGCACACTCGAGCTGGTTTCTCAAACTTACCTAACCCACCTTTAATATATAAACATAATAATTAGTAAATGTTCCAATAAAAGATCAAATAAAAAGAATACAATACTATATAAACATAATAAGTATGTAAAGTAATCAACAGTTGGTGTATGCCATCCATACACTTTGTATGGTGATAATGTCAATACTTTGTTTACAAAATGCTGCACTGCCCCCAAGTGGCCCAAAAAGATATTGGCAGGTTTACGTTTGTTTTGGCTCTCATCTTGTTTCTCTTTGCTTCTCAGGCTGTCAGAAGGGACACAGGTTGGGATACAAATGCTATCTCGTGTACAATAGCCTCGAGGACTACGCCTCAGCTTCCAGAAAGTGCCAGGAGCGCGGCGGCCGCATGGCGATGCCCCGAGACCGAAAGGAGCAGGAAGCCCTGGCCGACTACGTGAAGTCCTTCTTCCACCCGGGGAACTGGCCCGTGTGGCTGGGCATCAACGACCTGCGATCTGACGGCCTGTACGTGTTCGATGATGGGTCGAGGGTCTCGTATTTCCAATGGCGGAGACACTTCCTGTCCAGCCAGCCGGACGGAGGGAGGCGGGAAAACTGTGTGGCGATGTCCTCGGACGATGGCGACTGGTGGGACCATTACTGCGATCGCACCATGCACTATATGTGCGAGTTTGATAACAGGGAGGCACTTTAAAATTAACTCTCTTCAAGATTTAAAGGTCACCTATTATGCAAAATCCACTTTGTCATGTCTCTTCTACATCAACATGTGTCCCCTCTTCTTCATGTCTCTTCTTCATCAACATGTGTCCCCTCTGTGTAAAGAGACTCTGAAAGTTTCAGGAAAAAAGATTCTCTCTCTTTTTGTCCTGATCCATTTATATAAAAACCTGTCTGACAATGATCTGATCAGATTTTGGCCACTTTATGATGTCATAACGATGTGTTGTCTTGTGTAACCATTAGCCAATCAGCAACCAAGGTAACCCCCCCCCCCACCCTTATCACCTGAATCTCCTCCTAGAGCACCATTGAGTTCTTTTTAACCAAATATCTCTCAGAGGGGCGTGGGGAGGGGCTCCTTATTTTCATCTAAAGTAACAGACAGAGAATCAGCACTTTTGAAACAGGGCTGAAACAGAGGGGATTATGGGATGATCTGTTTGGTGTTTGGAGCCAAACACTTCAGAGACATGTTCTGTATATATCTGAGACCTATACTATATTGATGAAAAACAGTATAATAGGGGACCTTTAACACCTTACTTTGACCACCAGTCATTTGTTATGAGAAATAAAAGTCCACTCTTTCTTCAAATAACTTATTGCTCTTTGAAAGACACTTCAAACTTGGATTGGTATATGAAAACTAGTGTGTTTAAATAAAAAATATCCAGTATAAATTCATTTGTATTTGCTATAAATGCAGCATTGTTTGATTAGTGTCAGTATCTTTCAGGATAAAAACATTTTCCATGATAACATTTCACTGTATTTAAGTTTTTTGAAGTCAAACACGTGTCTCGCATTTGAGCATTGCTATAAGTAGTGAATACTATTATATTTCTCACGCAGCTTTGGTGACATGAACTTAAACCAATCAGGTGTCTGCTATGATTTCACGCCTAGAAGTCTCAATATTTGTTAAAGGTTTCATGAAAAAACGTAAAAACCTGGAAGCAGTCTTTTCACAATCAGCACAAACTGACCCTTTTGAAGATATAACCAACGTGTGTTTGGGTTTAACAGAAATTAGGGAGTATTTAACTGTTGTTTCTGAATTTTGAAGATGTTTTTAACCGGTCTGGTGGTGGGTGTGATTTCTCTGTTAAACTGCTGATTCTTCAACACCTCTGAGAGCATTTTCAGATTAAGAGTCCTCTTTCAGACACATGATAACCGTACTGTACGTAGATGTATCCAGTCACTGCACGTACAAAAGACAGTTGTACATAAAATGCTGAATGTATACGTTTTCATAAATCTTTACTACAGTTGAACACGTTTTACAGCTTGTTTTTTCTGATCACTCAAGAAAATAGATTTGCTTCCTCAGTAGGGCTTCAAATCTTTCGATACTGTGCCACAAAAAAAATTATTTTCAAGACCAATTCCCTAATATTACTCTCTGATTACTTACTTTGAGATATAGAGATATTGTTCATCCTGATTACAAATCTAACCAGATATTATATTGACTTTCTTTCCTCATTGACACCAAGGCATACAAAGTCACAGCAACATCTGTAATGAAAGATGTATTATTATATTTTCTGGTTTCTGGTTATCAAACCAAAGGATCTGATACCCTGCCATGCATATACTGTAAGAAGCCCTTAGTTGTCACCATGATATTAACAACAAACTAGTCACAGATCATGAACATTAATATTTTATTTATACAATTATATGTGAACAGATTTGTTGTACAGCAGCAATTATTTGTATTGTAATAGCAGATTTATCTAAAAAAGTGTCTGCATTAAAACATTTAATCAGAAATGTTTATTGTTTAAGGCCACATGGAGACACAGGGGGTGTTTCTCAATGTCGAGGACGCTTCCTTGGTAGCACATGTCTTCCGAGTCACTTGCTTCAGAAGCGAGGCAAGAATCCTTCCTAGCCTCGGCAAACGAAGAATGGTGAAACAGGCTAACAGGTGTGCAGGTGTGCGTCATATGCAATTTGGTCTTTGCGCAAAGCATTGTGGGGGATTTTAAGACCGCGGAGGATACACATGTGCAGCCTTGAAAGTTGCTGCACATGGAGGAGCCTTCCTCGACATTGAGAAACACCCACGTACATGAAGAGAGCAGTGATAACGTGATGTTGCAGGTTTTCTGGGTAATGTAGTTTCCCAAAAAATAAAACTCTAGCTGCCACTTAGGGCCGCCGAAATCCAAAGCTGCTCTATGCACCTAACAGAAAAATATATATACTGTCTATCATTCCAGTAAAATTGATAACATCTGTGTTTTTAAACATTAAATTCCATTTACATTATATAAAATTAACTTTATATCAAATTAAACTGTAATCCAGTCGCAGTTCTCATTTAAAAATGCTCCCATCACAACTCTGACACCACAGAGAAGATCAGATGTCTCTGCCTCACTGTTCTGCATCGGTCACATCTCTTCATGGAGTCATGAGAGCGAGTCGTGACGTCATTAACGTGAGACAAAGAGCTGCTCTTCTTCTGTGGTGTCGGTGAGGCGGTAAATTCACATATCTTTTAGTTAGATTAGAGATTAGACTTAGAGGAGCCGGCGGCCTGCAGGATGTCCTCCACACTCGGCCGGTCCATCGGGCTTTTAGACGGGTGACAGAGAAGGACTTTCCCCGCTTCATCCAGCAAGAAGTCTCCTCCCAACTGAAACCATAAAAACAGCTGCTTCATGAAATGCTTTTTATATCAGCGTGTGCTTCAAATGAGTCAATTACATGCAGAGGGAAGTGGTTTCAGATCATTATAAGCAGACCCTGCAGCTCTATAGAGTGCCACAGTGACGCGTCCTAAAACCCGGAAGTAAGTTAGCATTTTACCACGTCCGGTTCTTTCGCCAAAAACAATGGGATTTCTCCATAGGGTTTAGGAAAATAGCTGGAAATAAGGTCTGTGGTTGAGACACATTTAAGAGACGGATCACGTTTTGTTCTACGACATTAAATCCATCAACACTGGTGATTTCTGAAGAGTTGACGTGTCTGAAAAACGATGGTTGTTACCAAGTGGCTGAATAGGACTACAGAAGTTGTCGAGGCCGTTGTACGTCATTACACCGAACACATAAACACTCCCGCTAAGTTTGTTTCCCCCCGTGTTCTGCTTGAAAGCAAGTACCTGCCTCCTGCAAACTGTTCAAACAAACGCTTCAACTTGTACCATTTAGAATCTGTATGTTTGAATATGGATCTTAAGTTGGCGTGACGTTGAAGCAGCGACCCGGCTGTACTGTAGTTCGTTTATAGCATAACGTTAGCATTTTGCTTCTGGTGATTAGATTATAAAATTATAAAAGTAGGGTAGACATGTGGAGATTATCCGGCTGAACAAAACGTGATCCGTCTCTTCAATGTGTCTCAACCACAGACCTTATTTCCAGCTATTTTCCTAAATCCTATGGAGAAATTGCATTGCGTTTTAGTCGAAGGAACCGGAAGGAGTTTACTTCCGGGTTTTAGGACGCGTCACTGTGGCACTATATAGTTTTCTTGCATTTTTTACTAAGATGAATGCGTTTTGAGGCAATAAATGTAGAAATGTGGTTACTCTGTACATTTTCCAGCTGATATGTTTTGAAAATGTTGCTCACAATTCTCACATTCAAGCCAGAAATACATAGAAAACAATATTTTATATGCAATTAATAACGATATGTTTATCTGTAAAAAATAAATACATGTTAAACGGCTAGAATATTCTTTATCGAATGTTTACATGCAGCGCTTCATTTTTCTAAGTACTTTATTTTTTTGTTGAACCTAATTTAGACTGATTTAATTCAAGTAGATCACATTTACCCTCACTACCATTTCCTGTTCTGTTATTAAATGTTGTTTTAACACAAATCAAATATATTGTTTTAGTGGTTTTAACTGCAACCAAGAAGTGTCTTTATTTGTTTTTATCAAGATGGAATAAGACGATAATGGCACTTAATTTAAAAGGATGTTTTTGTAAGTTTCTTCAGGGATTTTCTTGTTGGTCAGGCAATAATAAAGTCTCTCCAGTGGCGAGCCGTCAGGGCCCTCTAGGCCCTCTGTGAGGGCCTAAGATATTCCAAAAAATAATATTTAAAAACATTAAAAAAAATAATATTTTTTTTAAATATATATTTTTTTAATATTATTTTTGTTATATTTTTCATTAGTTTTACCGAAAAGAAACTTGATTTAATTGTATTTAAAATAACATTTCCAAAGAAATAAATCCTTCGAATCTGCCTGTTCATTCTCTGTTTGAATGTGTGGGTTACATGAAAGAAGCTCGCCTGGCCCTCTCTGCGATTCACAGAGGGCCGGCTATAGTAACTGAACGAGAGAGTAATGTCAAATGACAGTACAATTGACCAATCATATCTTCCCTCTAAATGGGTGGGTTTTATTATCGCGGACATTATGACAAGTTCCGCCCGCTGTGAAACTTTTCTTGTTTCCATAGCAACAACAACTTCCTGTCAACAGCGTGAACTCGCCTTCAAAATAAAAGCATGCCAAATTACACTTAAGACATACAACGGCAACGAAAGTAAGAAACACAATGCAATATCATTTTCAATGTCAAAGAACACAAATTGGGTTCACAGGTGTTGTTTTGTGTGGTAGAGGGTCGCTGTCATTGATGTGTTTTGCACCCTGGGCCGTTGTTTTGATATTCCGCTGAAGTATACGCTGTGACGTAATAACTCTTTTTTTTTCTTTTTTCGAGGGAAGGGGTGGGGGTCAGAGGGCCTAGGTATAAAGCTCACGGCTCGCCACTGAGTCTCTCATTTTCTAAAAGGCACAGCCCAGAAAGGGTGAGAAGTTAATAAGCGACCCAGCAGCACATTTTCAATCCCCAGGCGCGTTAATCTACCCAAACATTTCGGCACATTTTTGTGCTGATTCAGGCCTCTTATCTGCACCTCAGTGTCAAAGTGTTCTCTGTGTTGCACAGCTGTACCTGGTAGATGTCCTCCTTCATGTGGGGGGGCATGTCGGGGAAGTCTCTGCCCACGGCTGGGTACTCTGAGTACTGCATCAGGCAGCCGAACCTCATCACCTTCGCGTAGGACGAGCCGAGGCCGAAACTCCTGTAGACCTGAGGCAGAGAGGCAAGGCACGTTTATTGATATAGCACTTTTCAACACAAGGCAACTCAAAGTGCTTTAAGAGACATTAAGAGCATAAAACACATTAAAAAAGCAAAGATAATAAAACTTGAATAACACAGGTTCATGAATAAAAGTTACAGTGCAGTGTGAGATGTGAATAGTTCAATTAAAAGTAGCGGCAAAAAGAAAAGTCTTCAGCCTGGATTTAAAAGTAGTCAGAGTTGCAGCGGACCTCCTCTGGGAGTTTGTTCCAGATATTTGACAATACCCCGAACCAAATTCTCACATTCCTCTACCCCTAGTCTTCCCGTGAAATTATAGTTATTTTGACAGTTTTCAAACCTTTTTATATTCCTTTCATCCTTCTCTTTCATCCATGTTGCATCCCCAGACAACACAGTTTCCTGTTTTACTGTTACCTGAACCCATCTTTGACCTTTGAACCACTTTTCTTTTCAATTCCCAGATTTAGGATTATTTAATAGAACATATATTATATATTATTTCAGCAGGAACACATGATGGCAGCTTCATTCACTCATGAGCAAAGAGAGAAGAACATCCTCTGTGGATACTGTGATATAAAAAGTGCTTCTGTGACATTTGGAAAATATTCTGTCTACATATTTGGTAGATTGCCCCTCGTTTTCATCTCACATCTGCTAACATCTGCTAACATCTGGCGGTTGGCTTTTCAGGATAAATGTTTTCAAAGCTTGTACTCACTCTGCTTTCAGGACAAATCATCAGCTGCTAAATCCTCTGTTCCCATCAGCCTCTCTGACACAGATATAATCTTCTTTAACCGGTTTTATTTTATTTTTGGGAATGGTAAATGGACTGTACTTATATAGCGCTTTATCCAGTCTTTAAGACCCCTCAAAGCGCTTTACATACTACATGTCGTTCACCCATTCCTACAGAGCAGTGTACCTTACTCTAGGACCTAACATTCACACACATTCACACACCGTTGGCCATGCCATGGGGAGCAACTCAGGGTTAAGTATCTTGCCCAAGGATACATCGATATGTTGACTGCACGGGCTGGGATCGAACCCACAACCTTCTGGTTGAAAGACGACCGTACTCCCTCTCAGCCACAGTCGCCCAAAGCAAATCCTAGTTTTTTCTAAATCCCTTAAAGGTCCCCTATTATACTGTTTCTCATCAATATATTATAGGTCTCAGATATATACAGAACATGTCTCTGAAGTGTTTGGCTCCAAACACCAAACAGATCATTGCAGCATTACCCATAATCCCCTCTGTTTCAGCCCTGTTTCCAAAGTGCTGATTCTCTGTCTGTTACTTTAGATGAAAATAAGGAGCCCCTCCCCACGCCCCTCTGAGAGATATTTGGTTAAAAAGAACACAATGGTGCTCTAGGAGGAGATTCAGGTGATAAGGTGTGGGGGGGGGGGGTTACCTTGGTTGCTGATTGGCTAATGGTTACACAAGACAAAACATCGTTATGACATCATAAAGTGGCCAAAATCTGATCAGCTCATTTTCAGACAGGTTTTTATAGAAATGGATCAGGACAAAAAGAGAGAGAATCTTTGTTCCTGAAACTTTCAGAGTCTCTTTCCACAGAGGGGACACATGTTGATGTAGAAGAGACATGAAGAAGAGGGGACACATGTTGATGTAGAAGAGACATGAAGAAGAGGGGACACATGTTGATGTAGAAGAGACATGAAGAAGAGGGGACACATGTTGATGTAGAAGAGACATGAAGAAGAGGGGACACATGTTGATGTAGAAGAGACATGAGAAGAGGGGACACATGTTGATGTAGAAGAGACATGAAGAAGAGGGGACACATGTTGATGTAGAAGAGACATGAAGAAGAGGGGGACACATGTTGATGTAGAAGAGACATGAAGAAGAGGGGACACATGCTGATGTAGAAGAGACATGAAGAAGAGGGGACACATGTTGATGTAGAAGAGACATGAAGAAGAGGGGACACATGTTGATGTAGAAGAGACATGGAGAAGTGAATTTTGCATAATAGGTGACCTTTAGTATTTCTACTATGCTCTTCGTTTAAAGTGGATATGGGTGAAATCTGTATATAGACTGTATGTATATATAAAAAAAGACCCAGATCCTGACCTTCCTCTGTGTATCCAGCAGCATGTCGAAGGTAGATCCAGTCTGCTCCCTCCACATCTGAGCTCCCTGCAAACCTCCGAAAGCAACGACCACGACCCGCACTGACCGAGCCTCCAGGACAGCCTGCAGCCACAGCATCAAAAACATGTATATTTGGCTTTTAAAGGATCTGTTATTCTCACTTTTCCACATTTCTGTGTAACTGCAAGTCATTTATTTGTAGGAAAGCTAATGGGTCGTGGCTGCAATGCCTTGGGAAAATGTTGGAACCTTTTGAAGCCAGAAAAAACACTTCAGGAATGCATGTGTTTAAAGGAATATTTCAAAAATATATGGGCAGATATTGATTGTATATATGGGCAGATATTGATTGTATATATGGGCAGATAAATCCTTATGAAGTTTGGGGATTTCTTTTGTATTTGTTTTGAAAACGATTCAATGCTTTGTTTAAAAGACAGTGACACCTGGTGGCTTCGAACGGTAAAGCAGATCTTCAAGAGTGGCCAAAGCACTAAAACACCTCTCTGATTTTAATAGTTTTATTCTTATATGTGTTTAATAAAAGTCCAAATATATATAAAATACTACGGTTCCAAGATGTGACATTACACATATGTTGATAGAGATTGCTAACTTATTTCATTTTGCTTTGGATAAGAGCATCGGCTAAATTAAATGGAATAATAATGATATCATTGTTTGTATTCGTTTTTGTAAAATGGCAAGAAGGGGAAAGGTAGGAGGAGGTGGTCTTTATTTATCTGAATTTACATTTGTATAATTTGTGCTATCTTGTAAAGACAACTTGAAAATATACGTGTTTTCTTTACCAGTCTGTCCTTCAGCTCGGCCACGTGGTCTCGTCACGGCAGTCATCCGTAATGTCTGATGAGAACCAGCAGGGTCTTCTCCCCCCGACCCAGGAACTGACCCAGAGTCACACTCCTGAGAACAACAAAAAACGTCAATATGGCCACGAGGATGGTTTGAATGTGTCCTTTTTTGGCTCATTTTGGCTCAATGTCTTCTTCAGTGCTTTCAACAAGAAGCCCCTCAAAGACCCTCGATTCTGGCTGTGTATGTCATCTTTGTGGTCTTTGCTGTGATCTTTTATATTTCCTGACCCCAGCACCATAGGACAAAAAACTTAACCCTCCAAAAGTTACCACTATCTGCAGGAATCTGATGAACTGATGTTTTCAGAGAGAAAGTGGCTTTTCAGGGAATTTGTAAATGTAGTGCACACTGGGTATTTGTATTTGTTTACACAGATGTCTTCCTTGCTGTTTAAGGGGAATGATGCCTCCTGCTGTTTATGAGTAACATTGCATTGCACATTTTAGACTGATGAGCAAAATGTGCCTTTTATATAGTGAGTAATTTAAAATTGAATTATTTGTACCTTTAAAAAAATAATAAAACGTCAATATGGCATGTATTTAATCTAGTCCGACATATAACAGTGTTTCAGTATTAACAGTAAGAGGCGATAAGAGCATCAACAATAGAGAGGTTCAGTTTGTGAACTCACTCTCCGCTGCGCCCGTCAGTGAAGGCCGTGTCGGGGCTCAGGCTGGCGGCCATCTTTCCTCCTGACAGCTGTCTGTCTGTCGTCTGCAGGCCTCTGTCCACGCTCTCCAGGAAGGAGTCCCACTCTGACTGTGCACACACACACACACACACACACACACACACACACACACACACACACACACACACACACACACACACACACACACACACACACACACACACACACAACACACACACACACACACACACACACACACACACACACACACACACGCACGCACACACACACACACACACACACACACACACACACACACACACACACACACACACACAGGTTATAGCCAGATACCAGTATGTCTAGTCATTCGTACTGATAAAAACAATAACTAATAACAAGTCACACTGTATCTTTTTTTGCATTTTAATAAATACAAAAAAATGCAACTACTTTGCACACTTGTCTTATGTATTCAATATCCTATGTTAATATTAATATTAATATAGCACTTGGTATATCTATAATTTATCCCAACTTATTTCTTTAGATTTTATTCTAAAGATATTCACCTGTTGATATGTATACTTAGTGTTTATTTTCTATTTATTTCTTGCTGTACAATCTATCTATTTATGTATATGTGTCTATGTATCTTGTTTATAAAAGAATAATTAGTACATGCAGTTAAAACTGGGTCTATGAATCTGATTGTAACCTGATGAATATAGTACATAATATGCACAATACTGTATATATTTCAAATAAATACAAAGCCCAAAAAGCTTCACTCATACAGACCTCCAGCTGCAGAAGCTCCTCCACCTTATCTCTCACTGTGGCATTGCTGAAAAAATACAAAGTTTTATTGACAAAACAGGCGCCACCCAACTTTAAACAAAAGAAAAGTAATTGATTAACGACTGTAAGTCAATCTTAGCGTGGGAATAAGTATCGTCCATTGGCAGGTGTTTTTATGATGATTTACCACAGGGTTTTTTGTGGAGTCTAGACTTTGGATCGGTTAGGGTGGAGCTCAGTGTCAGGATGGGACGTGTGTAACATTTGCCTGATAAATTCAGACTATCATGGAACATACAGTATTGTAATAGTTGCTGGAGGCAATGAGGACATTCCTGTAAAGGGATGATAGAAAACCTGTAAAAACCTGTAGTAACCCCTAAAAGACCCAAATTACACACACACCATAAAGCTGTATGGAAATTCATTTGTCAAATGAAAGACAAAAAGACACAAATGTGTTTCTTTATTATCACTTTTATCATCATTCTGGTTATATGTACAGTGGTGGAAAAGACACTGTAACACTGTAAGATACTCCAAGTAAAAGTACTGCATTGAGAATGATACTTAAGTAAAAGTATTTGAAAATGTACTTAAAGTATGAGTATTACAATGACTCGTTGCAGAACAATTCTTAAAAGGGGCCCCGTTATGCTTTTTGGGGTTTTCCCTTTCCTATAGTGTGTTATAAAGGATTTTGTTTGCATGTAAAAGGTCTGCAAATGATAAAATCCCTGTGTTCCCCATTCATACATTTAAATACTTAAAAAGGACAATTTGAGAAGCTGAAGCTGTGAAATGTTTTTACGCAAAAAAATTGCTGCCTCATCAACCCACTCATTGTAACAGGTGCTTAAACTTACTTTTGGTAATGTAATTTTAAAAGTGTTTCATACGTTTTGTGTCTAAACATGTCACTAGTAACTAATGCTGTAATTAAATACAGTGAAGTAAAAACTGCAATTTTCCGCTTTGAATTGTAGTGAGGTAGAAAGTGCTGCAAAAATAAAATAAAGCACCAGTAGTGTACTTAAAGGTCCCCTATTATACTGTTTTTCATCAATATATTATAGGTCTCAGATATATACAAAACATGTCTCTGAAGTGTTTGGCTCCAAACACCAAACAGATCATTGCAGCATTCCATAATCCCCTCTGTTTCAGCCCTGTTTCAAAAGTGCTGATTCTCTGTCTGTTACTTTAGATGAAAATAAGGAGCCCCTCCCCACGCCCCTCTGAGAGATATTTGGTTACAAAGAACTCAATGGTGCTCTAGGAGGAGATTCAGGTGATAAGTTGGTTGCTGATTGGCTAATGGTTACACAAGCCAAAACATCGTTATGACATCATAAACATGTTGATGTAGAAGAGACATGAACAAGTGGATTTTGCATAATAGGTGACCTTTAAGTACAGTACTTGAGTAAATGTACTTAGTTACTTTTTCCACCACTGGTTATATACTCGTACTTACTGATAAAACTTCTTCCATATGGCCTCTGCCTCGCTCCTCTTCTTCACTCCGAGGCTGCACAACAGCAACAACACAAACAATTATAATAATACAATGATTATAATTGAATAAATCACACTTAATTCTACTTATGAATGTTTCTGCAGGTGCTGTGATCTCCTCACCTTTTGTAGAAGTCTGCTCCGGCTGTGATCAGGCCGAATAAAATGGAGATCTTATGGGGGACGAACTTCTCCAGAGACTCTGCAGGAGAACAAAGGGGACACAGTGTTTGGTCGGGCTGCTTTGTGCAATGTCACTGTGTTGGCAATAATGCATGACAAGGATTACATTTCAACACCTTCAATCCAGACCTGATCACACTGATCTGCTTTAACAACTAATGAGGAGAATGGGTTGTAGCCAGCCTTTAAATATTCAAAAGGAAACCTGTGAATTATAATTAATAATGTAATAATATGTTATAAACAGAGTGGTAACGAATGTCAATGTAGCTCAAAACTGGTTTATTTCAACTAGATTTGCCATTGTATCTGAAGTTATAATTATGCAACTACTGAATTAATTACATTTCTTGCACTTTGATGCTTTTTGCTTGTTGGGAAAACAAATTAATTACAAAAACAAACAGATCGTTGTATCTGAACTATCTCTTTTTGAATTATTAATGGTTTACAGTTTTTTTTATTCATTACGAATAGATTTAATGAAGTAATGGCCATCTACCCACGGACTTCAACTACATTTCTTGCATTTTAAAACTTTTATGCTTCTTGTATACCAATATAAATGAAACAATAATTAACTAATCATAAAACCCGAACTTATATTACCTCTTCTTTAATTCGGCGTGACTAAAAGCTATTTAAGAACACACATTATAGTAAAATATTTTCTTTTAGTATTGATTCACGTGCTTCCTTCTGTCTAAAGCAGCGTTATAAAAGCATAGAATAAGGTGCTTTTTGGTGTTTTATGTGAGCCGAATTATTCATAAAACGAAAATAATACACTCTACATTAACATAAGTCAAATTAAAGTGGTGTCTACTTTTCTTGGCATAAAACAATTTAAAATGTCCAAAATGCAAATGGAGTATTGCCTCTCTTACCTGCTGCTTCCTTCCGGGCTGTCTGCAGCAGAACTTCGCTCAGGTTGAGCAGTAAACTGAGAGCACAGGTTAAAGTGTCCTCAGAGACAGACACGTCCTCAGCCATGGTCCCCGGCTCTCCTATCCTCTGCTCTCACACACCGACAGTAACGGGACAACCCATGTGAGCTACAAGTGTATGTTGAGAGACCACGTGACCTCGTGACGTGGGTTTAAAGCATAGACTGTATGTTTAAAGCTTTATATATAGTCTATGGTTTAAAGCCATACCGTGCAGTCAATGGCCTGACTGTTGCAACACTGAGGGGTTTCTCAATTTTGGGGGAAATGTCACATTCACAAGAAGAAATGGACTGACTCTGAACCAAATTGTGGTCCTTTTTACGTAGAATTACACCACAATTAAAAAATAAAGATGTATAAATTAAGGACATCTAAACAAAATGTGTATTTAATATTTTACTTGAAATGTCACCTTTTATTTGTATCACTATCTTTTCCTTTATCTCTTTATTTACCTACTTTATTTGTGTATCTGTATATGCTGTGTGTATATAATGTATGATGTAAATATATAAATTTTGTTGAATAAAGGGGGGGAAAGTAGTAGTTTTAAGTTAGATATTTAGGTTTCTTTCTCAGTTCAACCTGAGTGTCACCATTCACATACCGAATGTCCACAATACACTGTTCAATTGTACATCTGTTTTAGTCATCATATTAAAAAGTGTATACATTCCTTACGTATACAGTATTTGATCTACTCAAAAGCATAGGTGTAGTTTTTTTTAACTACTTGAACTTTTTTTTTGGCATTTTAAGCTATTAAACATGCGAGTAAAATCAATGTGTCCTTTGTGTCTTGTGTATGTTTTTGTCATTTAGTCAGGGGCGCTCCTTGCGAACAGGCAAGGCAGGCAACTGCTTGGGGCCCCGGACCAGAAGGGGGCCCCCAAAGAAGGTAGATTAAGAAGGTCCACAGCAACGACAACATGAAACACCCTTTAATTTACTGCAACATGTCGGGAAACACCCTCAAGGCGGCCCCATGTATAGCGTGCCGTAAAATGCTGCTTCTTATCTTAAGTTGTGTTGCCTTGCTCTGCTCCGGGGGGGGGGGGGATGCTGTCGGCTGAGCGTGGTGATGAAAAGCTGGTTCGAGGGGCCCCCAGTGAATGTTTGCCTAGGGCCCCCACCGACTCTAGGATCGCCACTGCATTTAGTCAAATTACAATAAAGCTATTAAACAGAAATCTAGATGAAAATATTAAAATTAAAATGTATTATATAAAATAGAAGAAGCACCAACATCAATGTGTGTCCTTATCAGTGTTGTGCTACATGTATTACATTAAATCCATTGGGAAAGGACTATAAGTATTGTATCACATGCAAGAAACACAGAGCCTGTTCACATTATCAATCAGTTTTATTGACTGCTGAACATTCAATCACCCGTTCAATGGAAACAAATCAAAAATCCCTCCTTCAAGTTTTAAAAACCCACCATAGCACTGAATGACTGGGTCACAGTGCAAAGATAAAGAAGACAAAAAGACGAGCAGTTAGCACAATCATTGATATAAGAAAGCCGACCGTCAACAATGCTGGAAATAAATTAGATATGCCATGAAACAGATCAGTTTGTTCTGTGTGGATCTAATGAAATGCTGAATGTAGGGAAGCTGCCATTCAATTAAGAAGTCCTGCAGCGTTGAGACGACTTTCAGTGACGACACTCTCATTCAATCATTAGGCGCTTTCACACCGCAGTACTTTTCCCACAAAGGTTCATGAGAACTTAGTTAATGAGAACTCTTTAGTTCTCATGAACTAAGTACAGATCGCGTTCACACCGGAATAAGTCCCTGGGGGAGGATTAGGCAAATGAAGCCGCTGACGTCACTTCTTCTTCTTCTGCTTTGGGTTTACTGGCAGGCCGCAAACAACTTCACGGCGTATACTGCCACCCGGAGTCCCCGGAGTTGGGGACTGGCTTCAGTAGAAGCTGCTGGGACTCCCCGCAGCTTCTACTGAAGCCTTCCGAGTAAATCGCCAGAACGCCGACACCTCCTCATCACTCCACCGCTCCCATGTTTTCTTTTGTGTTGCCATAAGTTAGTCTCTCTGTGTTTGTGCGCTGGGCTAATGCTAATGCTAATAATGCTAATGCGAGGATAATAAAATGGCGGCTTCACAAAACTTTTAGGGAGTTTTACGCGGCGTGGTTTGCAATCCGCCCAGCCAATCAGAAATAGGAACCTTTTTCTCCCACGAAAGTAAAAAGGTTCTCATGAACTAATTTTAGTTCCGGATTTTTTTGGTGTGAACGCAACATTTCGGAACTATATCGGAACTAAAGTGGGAAAAGTACTGCGGTGTGAACGCGCCTAAGAGTAAGGACATTTGTTGAGACTTGTTCCAAAAAAACGGAATACTTTCAGATATCTGATGAGAAGATTACTAATAACCTGCTGAGCTCGTTTCCTCCCTAACTGACATAGGACATACAACCTCAATATCACACAAATATGTCTGTTTCATAGGGTTGTAAACATCAGATCCCATTCAGAATAATAATACAATTATTTCCCCTTTTTATCTCAAATTAAAAACAAAACAACAGCATCAGGTTTCTTATTTGTAGCGATAGGTTCAATTTCCATGAGAGTGTTTTTAGTTTTGTAAAGCCAGAATTAAACTAATAAAGTTCCACTAAAGAGAATACCAAACAGTGGTACATATTTGGAAATGATCAGACAATTAAATGTGTCCAAAACCGGTTAATTCTTTTTAATCTGGCCAGGTTTTCCCCAGATATCTGTGATCTAGAAAAGACAGAAATTGTACCACATTGTCTTTTTTTACACACAGTATTTTTAAGACTTTTGGAGCTCTTTTCTCCCAAAGTAATGCTCTTATAGAACAGCTTGTGACGGCACATTTAATCCACGAGGGCAAAAGAAAATCCGGAGATGTGAGAGACACAGATGGCATCCAGTTCAAGAAGGGAATGATAGCAAAGACGATGACAGTGTGTTTACCGCCATCTTTAATTAATCCTTTACGAGACCCAGCAGTCAGAGGAGTCAGAGAAGATTCAGGAGTCTATTCGTGTTGCTCACATTTGGATTCTTTAATACTTATCTTACTTTTAAAAAGGGACATTTACTGCTTCAGAGCTTTTCAAGTCAGACTACTATATAATAACCTTACTCATATTTATTTTTGGTATGAGACATATAACTGAACGCAGCTTATTATGCTTTTTTAAAAAGTCTTTCCACCACAGCACATCGCTTAGAGACGTGACGCTAAAACTCAAAATAATAAAAGTATTATATCCAAAAAAACAATGGTGGCTGTTTTTGTTGGTGTATCTTTCTCTTTTCATCAATATGCTGCTTGTCTTATTATATTTATGAATTTATATTTAATTGTATTAAGTATAAACACATTTATTTTTATCAATTTCTGTTGAATTTTCTTATATTTTGAAGATCCTTTCTTTTCATTTTTGCGATTTATTTATTTAATATCATGTTCCAATCTTAAAAACATTTAATATTATCTGTGGTATATTTGTAAATGTACATTAACACCATTTTATAAATATTTCAAATAAATGGACACAACTGTATAGAAGTCTTCTTTCGCTAAAAATATTTATAACAATTTTGAATTCTTTATTTTCGCATTAATAAAATTGAGTTTTCTTCCATTTCTCTGCTGTGTCGAATCCTAAATGTAGTATTGAAATTTAACAAAATGATTTAAAATATAAAGAAATCGGTACTCTGAACTTCACATTGTCCAAAATCAAGTTTATTCTTTCCTTAAACTCAAATAATTCACGTTATCATGACGTAAAACTCAGAAAAACCATATTTTTGAAGCGGTTTTCCTTCGACAAATCATTGAGGACTTTATGCCTCTCTGAACATTCTCTGAAATCCTCTGACTCTCGCTCTGATAGTCGTTCAGCAGCCAACCCCTCTTACCACCAACCCTTTTATTGGTCACGCTAAAAGAAAGCGGGGTTCAATCCCCCCCGATAAGACATAAGCGACACTTCCTGCGAGTGTCGAGAAAAAACAAAATAAAAAAAAGAGAGACTGCTTCAAGTATCCAGAGTGGAATTCAAAAGCCCTGAAGGTTTTTCTTTCATCATTTTACTTTCCGTAGATCCCGAAACTATTTCTCTGCTGATAGGCTGGAGTGTGTGTGTGTGTGTGTGTGTGCAGTAGTGGTTAAGAAAATGTGTTTTAAAAGGCCAATAAGATATGAATGTAATAAAAAAAACACGTTAGACGCCAAATTAACATCCAATTTGAAGTTTAAATTCAAAAACGCTTAGATGTATTAATTTAATAACCATGACTTGTTCCTGCTGAGATGGAGGACTGTGTGTTGTGTGTGTTTTGTGTGTTTCAGTGTAAAGCAGAGAAACAGACGCGGGTGGACAGAATCCGTTCTGCATCCCAAACTAAGACACGTTCTCCGTCACCTTCACCCCAACAGCTGGAGTGTGTGAATATTGGGACTGAAACAAGGTAGCACCAAAATATTTCATTATGTTTTTGTACCTGAACTAAATCCGAATCGATTTGAAACTGTATAAACGTGACATACTGTCCAATTAAAAGGGACAAGTCAAGCGAAAAACTAATATTTTTCCTCTTACCTGTTCTATTTCGCAAATATAGGTTGTAGTTCGGGTGTGTTGCGAAATGTTTGAGATACTGATCATAGAGATGTCTGCCTTGTCTATAACATAATGGCTCACTGTGCCAAAGAAACATGTGAGAAACTCAACAGCCTCATGGTGAGCGTTATTTCCTTCCTTCGGGGCAATGATACTCCTGGCAGGTGGTGTACTGTAGAAATAAAACAGTTCCTCCAACAAGGTCACTGGAAGGTCATTCCTGTGGAGTTTAAACAAATCTTTGGACTCATTAAGCTCAACAAACAGAATGCCATGTTGGTTTTTTTTATATCAAAAATAAGGCAGACATCTCTATGGTGAATGTTCTCTAAAACGCTGTGACAAAACAATATAAATTGACTACAGCTAAGAGGAAAAATGTGTAGTTTCACGTGAACATGTTGACACAAGCATCTGAACAAAGTGTCCTGCGTGCCAAATAAATGTTCAAATGTAATGAAAACATTGCGTGTACCTGCTGGATACAATTATGCACGTTTACACCTTAAAATGTGTGTATAAGGGAGGATTATTGAGTCGGAAGTCATTGTATACCAAATAAGATATATTTCAGCTTTCCACAAACCAAAGAAAAGGCAATGTTTTCTCAGAGGAAAGGTCTTTTTTTTAAATACACGTTTTCAATTTGTATTATCTTAGTTTTTAGCCAAGCCCAATAGACCTGGTTCCCAAATGTGTCGAATAAACAATATGAATTTAAAATGTAGGGAATGACCGTTAGAGCTCAGATGCTTTTGGGGTTTAGTTTGGGATGCAGAAGAAGACGGCCCTTTGTCCTGCTCAGTGCAGCAGCTCCGTTTTTAAGACAGAACAGACTCCTGAAGTTTTGTTAGGACTTCTTGGGACAGTGTGAGGATGAGTCTGTGTTGAGAACCTCGATCATCGTTCTGCTGGACGGGAACGTCTCTGCTACAGAAGGAAGACTCTGGTACCAAACTGGTAAACTGTTGAAGGAGACAGAAAATATGAATGTACCGCACTGAAGAGTATTTATAAATAAAGGAAAGGTTTTGTCTCGTTACCTCATGAGGTTCATCCAGTTCTTGGCTGTTTTACTGAAGCTTTCTGGACTGGGTGTTGTCATGGCTTCAAAATCCACCAGCTGAAACGATGTTTAACAAACTGTTAGAGGACAAAGTCTGTACATGTCAAAAAAACATCTGATACTAAGCGTTTTTCAAAACTAAACATGGCACTTATGTAAAAAAAACTCTTCAGAATAGAAAATAAATATATCAGGGGTGTCAAACTCAAATACACAGTGGGCCAAAATTAAAACATCGGTACTAGTGGAGGGCCGGACTGGTTCAATGTTTATTGCAGAACTTATTGAAATGAACTTATTGCACATATTAAACCTGGAACTAACAAAGCTTAAATTATTGCCTATAAAAACATCATTAAACATTAAATAATCAGTTGCATTCATTTCTTATGGCTCTATCTGCAGCTTTTCCAGACTCATTTCTTATGAGTACATTTTTCCACAGGCCAACAACAGCTTCAAAAAAACTATTTCCCTCAAAGAGAAAACCAAACATGCCCTGTTGTCGTGAGAGAAAAAGTGCAGAAGGAAACATCCATTGAAAGTCAGTGTGCTGCTCTGTGATGCTAGTTCAAGCCAGATACTTGGCATCTCATCTTGGGTGCAAGTTCATCAATGTTTGGGGTCAGGCTCTGAGCTGAGGAGACCCTCAGGATGGAGTGAAGGCGTGCGTGCAATATACCGGCAGGCCAGATCTAATAGTAATTAGAAATTATCCTGCGGGCCGAAATTAAATCCACCAAGGGCCTGATTTGGCCCCCGGGCCTTGAGTTTGACACATGTGGGCTAGACAGTAGCTGCCGGGTCCCGCATGAGCTCAGCCCCCTCCTTTTTTTTCTTTATCAATTCTTTTTTTTTAAAGCTTTATACCCCAAATCAGCACTTTTGAAACAGGAAGTGAAATAGAGGGATATGAGGCATGGCTAGAATGGGTGATCTGTTTGGTATTTTGAGCAAAACACTTCATAGACAGGTTTTATATATTTTTATATATATCTGAGACCTATGCTATTGCCTAAAAATAACATGATAGGTGACCTTTAATTATAGACTTCTCAAACTGACAGCAAGCAATTTGAGGCAGATAATTAGCGGTGATTAGGCTGACTAAGACACACCTTGCTCTGCGGAGAGCTGGAGATGTCTGCCAACCTTTTTCTTTTATCAACTCTGCGTTGTTATCTTTATTGGCTTTTATCTCGCAGATGATTCTTAACTCATTTGTAATTGTCACTGTTTCCTTGATTATACTCAATCTTATTTCCTCTGATTTTAATCTTTATCTCTACCATTTGCTGCAGGCAGTTTGCTGCTTTTTTTCTCTTATCATGTTCTTATCTATACTGTAATCTTCCTCTCCACAGTGTGTTTCTTTGGGCTACTGTAGCTCCATGCTTCCAGCCTCTGTAATCTTTTTGTTTGCAGATTCGCTGCAGAAACCCACTTTAAGCAGCCATAGATGTCATATGTTGATCATTGTGCATGCAGCTCTGCTCTTTAGGGACTTTTGTATTAGCATTTCCATTCGCTATGGTCAATATTTCCCACAATGGAGTGTATTGTTCATTGTGTGCATGTGAATCAGAGGAGTTTGGGGATTTGGAGCTGAATGGTGCAGAATGTATTTCAGGGATTATTGATAAGTATGTAGAGATGCTATTGACATTTATAATGAAGACAAGAACTTTGCATTTTATTGTATTGCCTTTTTTTAATGAGGGCACCAACTTAGAATTATTTATCGATCTCCAAAACTTCTCACGATATAAACCCTCCTCCTCGTCCTCGTTGTGCTGCTCCGTCTCTCTCAGGCTCTTTCTTTAGATTAAAGTTTGGCTCGGTCTTGTTTGGGATGCACGCTACGAGTTTTCCCCGAGTCCTTCTTTCCAAACCCTTTCTGCTGTCAGACAGAGAGGCTGCAGAGAGAATAATAATTCCCATTCACACTCCTCGTTGGAAAAACACAAAGCCCTGCACAGACTCAGGGTTACCTTCTCCCCTCATTGCATCCCATCCGCGAATTTGTTGAGCAAAATCTAGAGTTGGTTTCCTGATCCCCGTAAATCCCAAAGTATCCCGGGTCTGCTGGTACATAAAGTCACCTCATGGCAACAGACAGCAGACAGGATCATAGTGGAAAGGACTGAGGCTTAACTCTCCGTATTATAAAGAAAATTGACCTTAGACACATGTGAAATAGATGATCTGTCAATTACACAGTTACCCAATGACCCACTTTAAGAGTTACATGATAAAGAAGAATCAAGAGCCGTACACAATAAGTCACCAGATCCACCAATCAGGAGGAGACAGCCACGGCATTGCCGTTCGAAAGCGCTGGAGACGTTGTAGTACATATGCCAGGCCTGTAGGTGGTGCTGTTGCTCACTGAATCAGCCCTTGCTAAAACAGAGCTAAAAAATGTCAAATTGAGCGAAATGAGGCATGGCTAAAATGCATGATCTGTTTGGTATTTTGAAAAAAAAAAAGTATAAATATGCCTAATATAGGTATGGTCCTACACTATATTATTCAAATATAGCATGATAGGTCCACTTTAAAATAAACAACTTTTGTAAAAGATTCCAAAAGTCTTGCCCTTCGTTTGTAGCACAGATTAGGACGGATAATGCATCTCGATAACTATGATATTTAAACTCTGAGAAGACTTCACTCATTATTTTCTATATACGATGTAGTTGAACATCAAACAAGGAGAACACAAAGGATGTTTTCTAAATGTTTCTGTCTTTGTTTCTCTCCACCTATTAAAGCCTCTTCAAAACAACAAAAGCCCTCCCTAGCAGCAGTGTGTCTATGAGAAGGATTATAACGTGAACTGTAGGTTTCCCAGGTTTTTGTAGAGAGGCGAAGTCCCTCCCTTTCCGGGGGACTTCCATGGGACCTTATTCGGAAAAGTTATGTATTGAAGTCAATGGGGAGAGAAAGATTATCTTTCGATCCCGTTTGAATTGTGCCACGAATTACACATATGATGTTTGTCAATTTAAAAGATAATTTTGCAAGTCAAAAAAATAAAAATGTGTCGTAAAACTGTGAAGTAATACTTTTTTTTGTGTGAAACCGCTCAATGAACTACATCTCCCGTCTCGCACCACACACCAAGACGGCCGTCACGTTGGCACATTTCACTTCTTTCTTTCAGAATGAGGCGGAAAGTATTAAAAGAGGTGAAAATCACTCCAAGTCTGGGCATGTTGAGAGCTGTACATACACACAAGGGGAGTTAGTCGGTTCCTAAGAGCCAGCATGCGGGACCGGGATTCTGGGATTTGTAGTCTTTCTAGTTGCGTATTTTTCATAGTCTTATATTTCAACAGTTTTACGACAAACTGTGACTTTTTTGACATGGAAATTATTTTTTAAATTGACAAACATCATATGTGTAATTCGTGGCACAATTCAAACGGGATCGAGAGATAATCTTTCTCTCTCCATTGACTTCAATACATAATTTTTCCGAAATAAGGTCCCATGGGTCGGAAGTAGATGGTCGGGACTTCGCCTCTCTATTCATTTGTGAAGATATTCAAATGCCCAGACATCTTTAGTCAAACAAAGACAGGCCTGGACATTATGAGATCAGACGATACGCTTCCTGGGTATAAATCTGACACCTGATCTTTTTCCTGCCTTGTTTTTAATAACAAAGTGTCTGCCTGGCCGGCGCAACATAAGAGATCCAGCCAAGCATCTTTCCCCCGATGTCTGGAGTAAATGTGTTGGAACAATAGACTCTTATGAAATGTACACCTTTTATTTAGAGAGATAACAAAAAAAGAGTCAATGATCCTTAACTAGTCCGTTTTGTTTTGTATTATATCCTCTTACGCACTCACGTCATTCCAGAGTCACACATTGCAGGTTTTAAAGCTATTTAACATATGGCTTTTTATTATTCTGACTTTACGTTAATGTCTGTTTGTATTCAGATGAAGAGCTGCGAGTACCTGCTGTGTGAGAGGGAGCGATATCACAGCTACAGCGTTTCCGCCAGGGGGGGGGGGCTTGCCGTCATTTGACTTATTCAGCTCGGGACGCCCTGAACTCGAGCCGAGGGCGTAAAAAAATATTAATAATTCGAGAGAAGATCAAGAGTTTTTATCGCTTGAAATGACGAAAGGGAAAAAGGACATCGCTCTGTTGGAGGGGCAAAGGAGTCTGGTGGGATTCTTTTCGGAGTATTGAAGATCGTTTCCCCGACATCGGCGGTGCCTGCCACAGGACAACACAGAACGTGCGCGATTTGGACGCGATGAGCGGGGAGGGTGCTAGTGGAGCATGCGCGTGAACTGCGAGCGCCGGAGCGAAACTGAGGCTCCGTGGTAAACTGTGGTAACATGAAGAGCCGTTTGAGAGCCGAGGAGCCGAGCCAAATGATCCGGCTCACTAAAAAGAGCCGGAATTCTCATTACTAACGTAAAGAGATAGTATCTGTGGGGGGAAACTTCTGTGTAGCAATTGCAGTGGGAGTCACCGACTCAGGAATGAGACACAGGGTAGAGTTGGAGCTTTGATGTCAAACACTGATGGGTTTATTAGGAGCTTCGGCCGGAGAATTCACAAAACAAGTCAAGAGCCAGAGGTTCTGACTTCATGGTAGAGTTGCCACGTCAATTCTGAAGAACTCTCCCCCAGACCCGTGTATTTAGCTAGTTCAGAGAGAATAATCAACATTGTGCATAACAACATAGAACCATAACACCTCTATCAGCTGACGCCAACAGGCAGGAACAGGGAGGCAAAACACTGATAGCACAGCAGCCAAGGTTGCAGGTGTGTGTGCTCAGTCAGGACAGTTTGAACTGATAAACTGGGTCAAAGTTATGGGCCTTGGAAAATAATTCCCCAACAGTATCTATAAGGGACGGCTCAATTCAAAATTCAAGTCACGTGACACAACGTGACGTCACACCCCGCCCCCCCCCCCCCGCTCTCGGGGTGGACGCCCTCTCAGCCCTGGTCTGGCGGAAACACTGCACAGCTAGAATAAAAATTGGTGAGCTGAAAGTTAAAGGAAAGCAAAAGAAACAAGTGTTTTCTCTTCTGGTCAGACACTATATTCAGACTTTAACTTTATTCCTTTTCCCATTCTCAGGTGCTTTATGTAAAGCTGAATATTCATTGACGCAGTTGGCGTGGATGTCAAAGGTAGATAGTTGTGTTATTATTGGTGTTCTTTTTATTTTGAACTCTTCTGCTGCGACAAAGGGTGCTTAGGGATTCGTATGCCATGAGAATAATCACCTGTAACAAAATAAAATAATCTCAATGTTTTGTAGTTTAAAAAACTGAAGCGCAGAAATTAAACGCACGAAAAGTGTAACAGTGATCATGATTAATGCAAGGAAGTCATCTGTTTCTTTAACTGTACTTAACATTAATCTGACATGTGATAAGGTCTGCCATACTGAGGGGAATGTCTGAAAGGTTGTTTATGTTTACCTTTCCTTTCGGGATCCTGCCGACCACCTCCTTCCCGCTGGCCATCAGCGCTCCCATCACCACGGAGTACGCCACCACACTGAGGAGAGGAACATCAGAGAAACACTCTTACACACTAGCATCATAAACTGAACTGCTCTGTAGCACGCTAAAAGTAAGAAAAGTTTACTCAAAAGTTTCCAAAATCTATCTTAAAGGGGACCTATCATGCAAAATGCACTTTTGTACGTCTTTTATACATGAATATGTGTCGCCGGTATTCCAGGGAACTCACCAAGTGTCAGAAAACACAACCCTCTCTATTTTCCTCCATACCCAAATCTCTAAAAAAGGGGCTGCAACGGATCTGATAAAAACTGATCCAGATTTGAACACTGTCCTGACGTCAGGACAGTGGCGCTACGGCTATTGGGCCAACTCCACCAATCAGGAGGAGACAGCCACGGCCATTGCCGTTCGAAAGCGCTGGAGACGCTGTAGTACATATGCCAGGCCTCTAGATGGTGCTGTTCTCACAGAATCTGCCCTTGCAAAAAGTGCAAATTGAGCGAAATGAGGCATGGCTAAAATGCATGATCGGTTTGGTATTTTGAAAAGAAAAAAGTATAAATATGCCTTATATAGGTATGGTCCTACACTATATTATTCAAATATAGCATGATAGGTCCACTTTAAAGTAAGGAAACACTTTTAAAGTTAACTGTAAACAGGGATCCCACTCAAAAAGCAAGCTAAAATGACAGTTACGCATCCCACACACGGTTCCGTTGCGTGCTTCAACGAAGACGCTTCCCATTCACTTTGAATGGGGTGACGTCACGCTTTGCCGAACTGCATTGTGGTTCCGTTGCTTCGCTTTGCCTCCGTTGCTCGCTTCAAAAGTTGAGAAAAGTTCAACTTTTCAAGCGTCGACGGAAGCGCTAGCCAATCAAATCATATGCCAGTACAAGCGCTAGCCAATCAAATCATATGCCAGTACAAGCGCTAGCCAATCAAACCGTGTGCTTGTGTGTCCAGGGCGGGAGATTAATGTGATTGGTTGTTGGTCGTGAGCCAGATACGCCCACCGGCAAGCTTCAACGCAACGGAACCGTGTGGACGAGGCGCTAGTTGCACAATAGTTGAACCTTTTGAACATCTTAAGACTGCAGGCTGTTTCCATGTTGAATTACCTGGATCCTCTGGAGAGGGGCATGAGATTGCAGAAGTAATAAACCAGGGAGAGGATCAGGTTACACACAGCATCTGCATCCTGGAGGACAGACAGACGACCGTTTAGTCACGAACTGACGGGGCAAGAATTTACAGACACATCCTTCAATTTAAAACTGCCTTCACTATGAACTGTCTTTATTTTCAGTTAAACAACAAAGGGTGAAAGAGACAAAAAACTAAACAAAAGAGGGCATTCATATTGTTCCAGGTATCTGTTTCAGCTGTTACAATAAGGACATTGTCCACACAGCTGTCAGTCTGGATCAAGTAACTAGAAGCTGAACAATGAGGAATTGAGCCTAAGTTGAACTGACTGACTTTTAATCAAGTCAAAATGTGTCTTGTGTCCGATAGTTTTTTCTCAAGTCTGAAAATCCTCCACAACAACCAGCTGCTGAACACATTCAACTACAATCCTGTAAATTGATCTGTGATATTCTCTAGACGATGAATTAAATTCCCTCACTAGTTTTGCCGTCTAGAGATCTGATCTGTATTCTGCTTTTTGTAATGTATGGAAGACCAAAGTTAGGAAGCTCTGCCTTCAGGAAGAAGGTTCCTCAGCCTCTGCTCGCACACCTCCAGGCTGGGCAACAGCTTCCTCCACCAGGCGGTCAGGATGCTGAACTCTCTCCCCCTCTCTGACATCTCTCCCCTGAACTCTCCACCCTGCCTCCCACCCTGCCCCAAATGGTCCTGGACTTTCACACACACACACACACACACACACACACACACACACACACACACACACACACACACACACACACACACACACACACACACACACACACACACACACACACACACACACACACACACACACACACACACACACACACACACACACACACACACACACACACACACACACACACACACACACACACACACACACACACACACACACACACACACACACACACACACACACACACACACACACACACACACACACACACACACACACACACACACACACACACACACACACACACACACACACACACACACACACCACTGAAACTGTACTTTGAACACTTTAAATATATTATTAACATTTTGAACTGTATACCCCGGTTATCTAGGCCCTTTTTGTTTTGTTTTATGTATACATGTCACACTGTAGGACTGCGGGAAATGATATTTCGATATTTCTGGATGTATAACACATGTAGAATTTTTGACAATAAAGCTGACTTTGACTTTGACTGGTTGACAGCAGAGATGAATCTTACCCCGAGTTCAGTGGACAGCATTAAGGCCTTCCCTTTAGCGGTGAGGTCTTTGTAGATGGACTCGATCTCTGACTGGTACTGCTGCGTCCGCTCCTCTGTCGTCTGCGTCTCTACTGAGAACAACATGTTGCCCACCCTAAAACACAGAGAACAGTTCAAACATCTGAACAAGTAAATCAGTTCATCTCCTTCTGGCTTCATAGTTCCAACAAAGTGGAAACTGTCATTGTCATAGGTCGACACTTAAAATATACTTTGGAAACTGTCTTTCCCTCGTACCTGTCTCCAGTGATGGTGATGGTAAAACCGTCGTACTCTTTCCCAAGATCCTTCATGCTCGGCACCTTGGAGTTGACCGTGAAGCCATCTCTGGTTTTACTATTGAACTGCTTCAGGAAATAAAACACACACACAAACAACCATCCGGGTTTTCACTGCTGAACGAATACAAGGCATGTATTTGGTACAAGACAACGAAATAAAAACTCGATATTGTGAGTTCATTTCTTGAGACACTGAGACGGCAGTTGGTAAAACAATCTTCACTCATGGTCCCCTTTGTATTTCTAACTGAGCAATATGCTTATTAGGACCTTATGTTATATCATATTCAAAAACTGCAGTAACAATAACAGAGCCTCGAGTTGAGAGCAATATTTTTGAACTTTTGCATCCAACTTTATTCATGAACACATCTTCTGTTTACTTTCCTCTTAACTAATCATCCCGCTTTTCGTCCTTACCTTCATTATAGGAAGCAGATCTTCTACTTTATTCACATTTTCAAGAGCCTGCCGGACTTCTAAGAGTCCTCTGGGGTTGTACGCCCTGAGACACAAAACAGGAGAGAGTTGAATAAATATTCATTTATATTTCTGCATGAGAAAATTCATGCAAAAAAAAAAACATGGGGATGCTAGTCTTTCGTTGTTTTCTGATTAGTGATGTGTCGGTCGCGAACGAGCCGATTCTTTTGAACGGCTCTTTTGGTACGAACGAGGGGAACCGAGTCGTACTTGGTGAGAGCCGTTCTTTTTATCGTTCAATCGTTGGTCCGCACTCACTGCCTGCCAAAATCCACTCGCCTTTTAAAAAGCTTGGTTTTGTTCCCCAAAACGTATTCTGTGAAGACCCGCCCCTACTCTGATTGGTAGGTTTCAGCACGAGGAGTGAGATGGGGTGGGTTTTAAGGGAATACGCGAGAGAGAGAAGTCATAACAAGTGGTACAGGACAGATAGACCACGTGTTTTTCGGATTGGAAAATGAGCCAAACACGAAAACGCAGCAGCATTTGGATGCACTTCAACCAAAACCCATGCAGTGATAAAGCTCACCATTTGTAAAGGCAACATATCCTTTAAAGCAGCGTCATCAAATAATCTCCATTGCCACTTAAAAACACAGTATCTAATATTAAGAGTTGCATGAATTTCATTCAAGGCAAGGCAACTTTATTTACTTAACACATACAGAGGGTCAATTCAAAGTGGTGCATTCACTGACATGATGACATGGATATGGCGCCACCTTGTGTCATGTTTACAATGCAGATTATTGACATTAGGTCTGGCAATACAGTCAATCATTATCCTGGTGATTATTTCACAGATAAACCTAGTAACCCCGCCCCCGGCTCTTTTGAACGGCTCTTTGAAAGGAACGGAGCCATAAGATCCGGCTCCCTTCAAAGAGCCATAATTCCCATCACTAATTCTGATACAGTTTTTCAAAGAAAGCAAAGGATGGAAAAAAGGAAATAACTACAAATATATTGCAGCAACAGAGGCAGGACAGAATATTATGGTAACTGTTTGTGATAAATGTTTCAGTAATGGTGTAATTTACCGATGATACACCAGTATTCTGTCTTTGATGAAGTCGAGGATGTTGTCAAAGTACGCCAGGTATCTGATGTTGATAATCTGTCCCCTGAGGAAAGACAAGGACATCAAAATTCAACATACTGTCAAAAGATCTGCTTTGGTATGAAGAAGGGCTTTCTGTGAGTTTGTCAGAGTCAAGGCTACTGTGATTAAGAACTGAGCAAACAGTGTCGTATAACCATGAATTGCAATACAAGTGTTACCAATACAAAGCTGAGGAGACAAAGCAAGGCAATGTGGAAATTCAAGTCACTCCAGGGACTTATGGGAGCCTCTGTCTCCAGGGGGAAGCTGTTACCTGATGAGGTTGATGTGATTGTTGAATCCTCGACTGAGACTCCTGGCAGGCATCTGGTCCAACCACAGGACGGGCTGGTCTGGGTCTGCGATCCTACGAGCAGAGGAAAAGATGGTTAGCACTGTAGGTCAATCAACTGAGGACAAAAGACTCTCTGGGTAAATGTCATTTAACCTATAACCTGTAAAGACTGAGGGAGCGTGCATTTGTTTCATGTTTGTATTTAGTTTGCTTAAGTTGATGCTATAAGTAAACCATGACACACAAGGAATGGAAATATAAATGTTTTATTATTTAAGTATCCGTCTTTTCAGTCCTCTTAACCTTAAATAACTTTTTAAGACCACACAGATCTGGAGTCTAGAATGTACTATGCTACTTAACCCTTAGATGCATAAGTGGGTCTTTTTTGACCCGGTGAGGTGGTTTTCTTGAAGTATCTTTGTAATTACATTTTTTTATCATTTCATATTCCAGCTATTCCTCAAAAAACATGTTTTGGATATCATGTCATTCACATTTTAAGAAATTGTAGTTTCTGTATTTCTACCCCAAGCTTCCATAAGTGGGTCAAAAATGACCCGCATGCATTTCCTATGGGATCCTCTGGGAACCTTTGATTCTTATCGCCTGTTGCTGTCAGGAATATATTCACTGTAGACCACACAGACTACATCACAAGTGACACCTCTCAGGAAGATTATTTTACACAGCAAGATCTGATACCTGTCAGTATAATAATAATAATAATACATTATATTTGTATAGGGCTTTTCAAGGACTCAAAACCGCTTTACAATATAAGGGAAGGTTAGGGTGGGGGGTATAGGACTATCAAACTTGATCAACCGGCATGGATTGATGGGGGGTGGGCTTTGAGTAGACAAGAGGAGAAGAGATGAGTTTTGAAAAGGGACTGGAATACTGTGAGGGTCTCAGAATAGCAGAGATCTTTGCATCGATATGTTCAAAACGTTTTTTTTCTAAATGTAAAAGAAATGTCTAAAATTATAAATAGTGAAAAATTAAATATAAAATATTTCTAGTGTGAACCAAAATATAATACTAAATATTAAACAAGTGATTTTTTTCTTAACCAAAATGACAAAAATGGCATAAAAACACATATTATTCTAATACGGGTCCTTTTTGACCCACTTATGGACGAGTGTAGGGTCCAGTCACTCTAAGGGCATCTAAGGGTTAAGAGGGTAAATTGGTGGCTATGATATATAATCATCTGTCTTCTTATCCCTTTAATCCTGTGTGTTTTAGGATGAGCTCCAGGAGATGAATATGAATCCACAGTTGCTCCCGCGTTTAATTTCTCTTGGAATACAATACAGTTTTAGGTGTCTTAATCATTGTTTTCTCATCTAGTCAAAACACATTTACACCGTGTTAAGAGTAACCACTTTTTGACTCAATAACTGATGTCAACAGTCGATAAGTTAGACTGTGAATGGATGTAGTTCAACAGTGTTTATTTCAACACAGATGATCAGAATCAGTTCTCACCTCCTCCATTTGACAGCTATGTCGAACATGTCTCTCCACTGCATTTGCCTGGTTTTCCCGTTGACTCGGACTTTGGAGTTGCTCCACGTCCGATGCATGGCCTGCATCACCTCCAGAGTGGCTAAACCCATGGCTGAAACGGCACAAACATCATTATTCTACTGCCTTTGTTTATACTTCAAGTGTCTGTATGAACTGCAGCATTCATCAAGTGGTACCTCTGTGTATTCTCCTGTTAGGTAAGAAGCCAGGAGTGTCGTATTGCATGAGCGCCCCCAGGTGGTCGGCTGTGCAGATCAGCTTCTGGACTTCACTGCTGTAGCTCTCGAAGTTCTGAGGCAGCACGTCTCTGCAGAACACAAACACAAATCTTTTATGAGGTGTGCACTTTTATTGGTTTATTTCTGGACTGTACTGTGGCTACTGTTAAAGCTTCTGAAATGTTTATTTCTGCTGATTTCTGGCATAAGAAAATCTGTCTTAAGGACACTGGATCTTTTAAGCCTTATAGAAAAGATGGCAGGTGTTGCCTATGAACCATTATACACTGTTTGGATGGGCTCTGGGCTCTGGGCTCTGGGCTCTGGGCTCTGGGCTCTGGGCTCTGGGCTCTGGGCTCTGGGCTCTGGGCTCTGGGCTCTGGGCTCTGGGCTCTGGGCTCTGGGCTCTGGGCTCTGGGCTCTGGGCTCTGGGCTCTGGCTCTGGGCTCTGACTCTGGGCTCTGGGCTCTGGGCTCTGGGCTCTGGGCTCTGGGCTCTGGGCTCTGGGCTCTGGGCTCTGGGCTCTGGGCTCTGGGCTCTGGGCTCTGGGCTCTGGGCTCTGGGCTCTGGGCTCTGGGCTCTGGGCTCTGGGCTCTGGGCTCTGGGCTCTGGGCTCTGGGCTCTGGGCTCTGGGCTCTGGGCTCTGGGCTCTGGGCTCTGGGCTCTGGGCTCTGGGCTCTGGGCTCTGGGCTCTGGGCTCGTGCATTTGCTACAAACTACAGCTCAAAACAATAGGAAGGTGATGGATCATGATTTCTGAAATTAAGTTATTCAGGGTATATGCAGGAATCCTGAAGTCAAATGTAAAACCTTTTAAGACCTTTTTTAAGACCCTTTCCATACATTTTAAGACCTCATCGCCACTTCGAGTTTTAACCGGTTACATTGGCGACACACTTTACCTCACATTTACTATATACAGTATTGATTGTCCTTCCTCCTTATCTTCCAACCATTTGGACGCAAACTTGCATTTCCCCACAACGATGTTGTTTAACAACCGGCGTAAACGGACCTTCGCGCGCTATCAAGCAGTGAGCGTGCGATGTCCTGTTCAGATGACGTCAAATCCAACGGGATGCCATAAATAAACTACACAGAATCACACTACACACCTACGCAATGATTACATTCAGGCACACTGTAGAATACAACCTCTTTGGACAATTTATATACTTATTGAAAACAAGCTACAAAATGTAATACCTTGGAAAATGCCGTTTAATACTTTTTAATAGCCTTCATTTTCGCTAAATTGATTTATCAACTTTGAATACTTTTAATACTTTTTAAGACCCCTATTATTACTCTTCCGTGCAGCACACTGTGTAATGAACTTTTACCAAATAAAACTAAGAAAATGTATAAAAGTTATCTGTTAATATGTTGGTTTGAAACCCCTTTGATTGCGCTACAAATGAAGTACCTTATTATATTACATTTTGCTAATATCTTAAACATTAACTGCAGTTTTTGTTTGATCTCAGAGCAATACTTGCAAGAAAAAGTAGAAAAAACTAAGTATAATATCAGCTGTATAGGACCGATCAAACCTACTTGATGTGTGGCTGCAGGCCGGGCTGTTCTTCATAATCTTCTATTAAAAACGGCAGGTTCTTGGCCCAGTGGTTCTTAAAGTTTCCCGGTAAGTCCTGGTCCACGTTGTACTCTGCTACCGGGATGTCGAGGTGGGAGTGCAGGTAGCGAGAGTACTCTGGTGGGGAAATAAATGCAAGATATCATTTAAAATGTACTGGTTTGTAGTTATAGTAAGTGTCTGCATATGGTTTCTTTTATAGGGATAAATAAAGGGAATGTGTGGACACTGACCTCTGAGGTATTTGACTTTGAGGTATTCAGAGCTGGCCTTCTGTCCCAGCAGAGGGTCGTTCAGCATGACTTTAGTCTGAGCTTTGATGCCCTCGTAGAACTGACCCATCGCCACGTGACTTAACCCCTTCATGTACTGACACACCTCGTTGTACGGCTCCAGCTGAAGACACCTCTACAGCAGAGAAATACAAAGGGAACAAACACAGAAGAACAATAAGAAGGGTTGGACTGAAAAAGATGGTTTGTGTTATTAACCAACCTAAGGTATACAGAAGTTCAATATGGATTTGTTTGGCTGCAAGGGGTCTCACATTTACAACAATATCAAAATATATAGTGACACGTTGACGTATTGAACTAGTGTGGTGTCATGGGAGCTGTTGTTTTCACCCTCATTGTTGTCATTGGAGTTATCCTCTCCGTTGTAAGCATTATTCCATTGTTCATCATTCAGGAGATGTTTACCAACAGCTGGATTAGGTGGTTATAACATACAATTAAGCATTTATGGGTTTTAAAATCTGTTTTTCTCTGTGCAACAGTGTGTGCAACAAATGGAGATGTGCCAACAAAATATGAGTACAAAAATCAATTTTAAAGTGGAATAATTACGTTTATGTTTTTAGGGTGGAAAATGTATGGAAACATTTGAAATAATTTAAACCAAATATATAACACAGCCGTTTTGAGACACTTTAATGTGACATTTTACATATTATAATTCTAAATCTGCAGTTTAACGAGTATAAGGCCCACAAAATGAATATAATAGCCATATAATTAACAGTGTAATCCCCCCCACATGAGCTTTTATGGGTTAAAAATCAGGGTTTCTTGGACTCTGTGCAACAGTCTGTGCAACAAATGACCAAAAAAGCATTGAAAGAAATATGGCTAAAAACTCAACATTAAAGTGAAATGATGACGACTAAAGCAAACAGGGAACCGTTACCTCAATTACAATTACTATAACTTATTATTAATGTTTCCAGGCTGGAAAATGTATGGAAACATTTGGTAGTAAAAAACTAAACCAAATGTAAAACATATATTTTATTTTTAAATAATAGTTGTACCTATGTGTTCACTGTTGTATGGGGCTTTATATTGTTGCATCGACTCAGTTGTCTTGTGTGTTATCTGTCGAGAGAAACCATTCTTTATTTTTATTATCATACATTTGACCTCCTTGTGTCGATCAACCTGATAACATGTTATATTTTTTACCTGTAAAGTTCTTAACAAATAATCTGAGGGGAATTTCTTGTCGTTTGTTTTTAACTTGTGATGTGTCATTTTGTAAAGCACTTTGAGCGTCATGTGTTGTATGAAAAGTGCTATATAAATAAAGCTTTATTATTATTATTATTATAACACAGGTTTAGTCGTTTTTGGAAATGTTTTACATATTATAGCTTAAAACTGCAGTATAAACGACGCAACTTCTGGTCCAGGCTCTCGTCATCTCACGCCTAGACTACTGCAACTCCCTCCTGGCTGGTCTACCTGCATGTGCCATCCGACCTCTGCAGCTCATCCAGAATGCAGCGGCTCGTCTGGTCTTCAACCTTCCTAAATTCTCCCACACCACACCGCTCCTCCGCTCCCTTCACTGGCTTCCAGTAACTGCTAGAATCCACTTCAAGACACCGCTGCTTGCGTACCATGCTGTGAATGGATCTGGCCCTTCCTACATCCAGGACATGGTTAAACCATACACCCCAGCACGTGCACTCCGCTCTGCATCGGCCAAACGGCTCGCTGCACCCGCACTGCGACGGGGACCCAAGTTCCCATCAGCAAAAACACGTGGGTTTGCTATCCTGGCTCCAAAATGGTGGAATGAGCTTCCCATTGACATCAGGACAGCAGAAAGCTTACACATCTTCCGGCGCAGACTGAAAACTCATCTCTTTCGACTCCACTTCGAGCGATAGAATGACTAACAAAGCACTTATATCCTAATAAAGGACTGGCTTATCTAAAGCTAGTTGAGTAGCACTTGAAATGTTCTGGCTCTATGAAACCTGATGTACTTATATGATTCTGTTTTCTTCTAGTTTGTATCTTCTTGGTCGAATGCACTTATTGTAAGTCGCTTTGGATAAAAGCATCAGCTAAATGCAATGTAATGTAAACGAATATTAGGCCCAACAAATAAATAGGATATGAAGCCTAGCTATATAATTCCACAGTGTATCCCCCCCCCCCCTCACCTTGAAGTTCCCGATGGCCTCCTGCAGCGAGCCGTGGTGGTACAGCATCATGCCTCGCAGCTGCAGAGACTGGATGTGGTTCTGGTTCAACATCAGGGCTTTCTGGAAGCTCTCCATCGCAGACTCAAAATCCCCCAGCTCTCTGCAAAGAGGAAGAAGAGAAACCAAGAGAGCAACATGCACATGCTGTTAGCGAAGCAGAGGGGAGAGGGGGGTAATCTCAACTCCTTCAATGCAAAAAAGGACATGTGTTATCGGGTATATAACGGTCTCTGTACCTGTAGGCCTGTCCAAGGCTCTTATAAGCATCTATGAAGTCAGCTTTTAACTTCAGCGCCTCTTTGAATGTCTCAATGGCTTCCTGATGAGAGAAAACAGAGTGACAACACAAGAGTTAACAGGAAATTACAAAAAGGGAACATGAGAATTGACCTAAAATGTTAAACTCAGCAGATGGTGCAGACCTTGTTTCAGATATAACCAGATAGGGATGGCACATTTTAGTTTACTGTACAGTCGTCACAGTGGAACTCGTAAACTGCCAACTCTGTTCATGCATAAAATAATGTTTTGTAAAGTGTAAATCAAATCAATTCCACGACGTAATCCTTGCAAGGAGTGATAGAAGTAGTACGATCTTATACCTAATTCAAAATACCAATACACAAATGTAAAAGTACTCCACCATAAGTAAAAGTGATGCATTTGAAATCCTCCTCAAGTAAAAGTACAGTTGTATTATTATCTTAATGTACTGAAAACACATTATGTAAGGGTCACAAGATAAATAAGATGGGTCTTGAGAATATTTATGGGAGAGGGAGACCAAGGAGAAACAAAGTTGTGCTTTTAAAATGTGTATGCTCCTTTGGACTTTTCTCAAATTTAGCATTTTTGTGAAAAAGTGGATCATTTTCCCTCTTTGAGTCTCTAACGGTACGTCCACACGGCAGCGTCGCGTTGAAGCTTGCCGGTGGGCGTGTCTGGCGTGCGACCAACAACCAATCACATTAATCTCCCACCCCGGACACACAAGCACGCGGTTTGATTGGCTAGCGCTTATACTGGCATATTATTTGATTGGCTGGCGCTTCCGTCGACGCTTGAAAAGTTGAACTTTTCTCAACTTTCGAAGCGAGCAACAGAGGCAAAGCGACGCGACGGAACCACAATGCAGTTCGGCAAAGCTTGACGTCACCCCATTCAAAGTGAATGGGAAGCGTGTCCGTTGAAGCACGCCACGCTGCCGTGTGGACGTACCTTTAAAGTTGTTTAAATGAAAAAATCTGAAACATTAAGTGGGGACATTTGCATTTTTTGATGTACAATTAAAAGAGTAATTGAAGCTTTATAGTAAATGTAATAAAAAGTGCCTCAAGTATAAGAAATGGAAATGTTCCAAGTCAAAAACAAAGACCCCTAAATTGTACTTTAGTATATAACATGAGTAAATGTAGTTATCTTCAACCATTGAGGGAAGGGGCCACTTATGGGTCAGCAGACAACCATTTCCCTTTCTCACAAAAAATAACTCAGTCACAGTCACTACTGATTAAAAGCATGTAGAGATGCAGAGTAGATAAGAGTTCAATCATTATACTACTCTTTAGAGAGTAACTGGTTCTGATAGTCAAATGTTCTCAGTATATTCACAGTGTGTTCTCAGTAGCTGCTGCACAGGGCTAACCCCAGGAAATTGGTTAGCCGAGGTGATAAGCACAACCAAAAACAAACCACACACTCATGTGACTGAATTAAACGGAGCAACTGAAGCAGCTTTGCAGAAAGTCCTGCAGCAGAAACCCTCAGATTAAACAGCTGCAGCTCGGCACTCCACTTCATCTGACATCTTTTAATCAAAGAGTGACAAACATTGAATGTGCTGTAATTGAGGTTTGACAGACTACAAAATAACAACAATAACAAGTGTGTACAAACATATTTTGAGATTGACAATAAAGTTGACTGACTTTGACTTGACGAGCAAGAGTTGGACAAATATGTTTAAGTTGTTTTATAAAATCCAAAATGAAGCAACTTACATTTGAAAAGTGAGATAAGAACTCTAGTGTGTCTACATACGGTTGTTAGGGACTTTTCAGGACATTTCCAGTGTGTGTCTTTAATGAGAATGGTACAAAAATAATGTATGTAAAGGGTTAGGACTGCTGAAGATGAGATGGGAAGTCAGCTATGTATCAGGCCTGCCCAGCCCTCAGGGAAACCCTGTCTGTTTATAACACCACACCTTTAAAGAACAACCTCCTATGTGTCGAATAACACCCTGAAGTGTCTTTGAGGTTTCTTATGACATTAACAGAGTCCACCACAAACAGACACAGGAAACTGGTGTGAAACACAGCTTTCTCTCAGATTCAGACGGCTGTATTGACCCCGAATGGTCAATTCAACCTACTGAGAGAGCTGCTCAAACTCTCTTTTGAGCTAAACTTCTAAAAATCAAGAAAACCTAAACTGAAAATGTCTCCCAAAGCAGTCTACTAGTTCTAATTTGCAGCTGCTCATAGGTGGTTTAGTGTATATATTGGATGGTAATTAAGTTTGCACATAAAATATGACACCATTAGCTTCAAAGCATGTCCTTGTTGATATTCTGTATACATCTCATTTAAAGTGTTTCCCTATATCAGGGGTGTCAAACTCAAGGCCCGGGGGCCAAATCCGGCCCGCGACCTAATTTTATGTGGCCCGCAAGAGCTTGCAAAGAATATAATATACAATACAATTGGTGTAATTGTTGAATATTTACTTTCAATTATTTGCCCTAGACTTCTGCTTTCAGACGTAGTTATTTAGGAAGATATTAACAGAACTGATAATAATCCAATGCAGGGCCAACAATGTAATATAATACATTATTTAATATATATTATATATTTACATATGTATATTTTATATATAATTAAAATTACAACCGGCCCTTTGAGTGCAACCATAATTCTGATGTGGCCCGGGATGAAATTGAGTTTGACACCCCTGCTCTATATTATTGATTGTAAACATATTATCAATAAGTCTTTTTGTTTTGATCAATTCCCACCATCAAATAAGTGTACTTTTTAAAAGATGTGGATTGGTTTAAAGCTTTTTATAATGCTCCTAAGCACCCACAAATGTTATATTCCTTTCAGTGAGAGGTCGCTAGCTAGAGCAGTGTACCTATTGTCACGTTAATCGTGCAGTTATTGACAGTAAAAGAAACAAATAACAAAAATGGGGTGCTGTTTTTGCCCTACTGTCCCTCTAAGTAAGGCATACAAATCTTAAACGTGATGTTTGTGCCGTGAACGCTATTTTTAAAGCCTGATTTTCAGTTTTTCTTGATAATCAGATCACACACACACACATAACCAAATACCCATATTTCTGCTGTGAAACCCCCTTACCTTGAGCATGCCTCTGTGGAAGAAGGTGAGGCCTTTGTACAGCATGGCGATGGGCTGATTCTTCTTCAGCTCTAAAGACTGCTGGAAGTCTTCCATAGCTGCCACATAGTCCTGGGGAGAGAGCACAGGATCAGCATGTGGACGAATGAGGACATGAATGTTCATAATGCACATACAGAACGGTTTACAGACAAATAACAGGCAACAGTAGTATATACAGAGTATCAACTTGGGCTTTAGGTAATACAAAAACAGGTAAGAAATACAAGATGGAGAGGGAGAGTAAACAGAGCGCCTGTCTGGTAAAACAAACTAAAAAGGCCACGAGCAAAGTTAAGAAATGATCTTGATACATGGCAGTTGTAAATAAGTGCTCACATATACTCGACTCGTACATATATTGAGTGCATAGCAGTAATACACCAATTAAGAGTGTGTCAGTCCGGGATAGTATCAAAGGTCATTTTATCAGTATATGCAAAAAATGGTCCCCATGTCTTCTTAAAACTAGCAGACGACCCTCTCATCTGATTGTGTCCATATTAACAAAGATATCTCTAATCTAGTCCTGATGGGCAGGTGAAGCTGGAGATTACATAACGTTTGATGATCACACCTCTGAGATGAAGAGCAGGGTTCCTCTGTGTCTGTAGAGGCGGGCGGAGGGCTGCAGCTGGATGGCTTTGGTGAGATCGCCCAGAGCCTCGCTGATTCGACCCAGAGGAGACAGGATCTACACAGGAAATCAGACAAAGCACACACTCAATAAAAACAGCATATGTATGGAAACCAATATGTGAGATCTGAGCTCTAAACACGTCCTTTTTTTTAATGTTTATTTGTATTTATTTCATTTACATATTATTTTTGGTTGGGTATTATATTATTTTATATTTAAATGTTTAACTAGCACCTGTTTCGGATTTCTAAGAATACCTGTCTGTACCGACTACCCAGGGAGAGGTCAGAGAATTTAAATGAATGTCTGTAAGTATAATTAGCCAAGACTTGGAAGGAAAGGGGTGATGTATGTATGTATGTGTATGTGAGCAATAACGTGTAGATTTGAGTGGACTGTAAATTGAAGCGGGTGTGACTTTTATGTACATCTCCATGTATGTTATATATTTGTGGAATAAATAAAAAGTTAAAAAAACAACATGTATTTTCATATCATTCTTGCAGAAATCCACTTTATTTGATTTGCCTATCCAACAAGGACTATGGCTTTCCCAACATGACTTCACTTCACCAGTTACTAGGCAGACAAATACACACACAATAATAATAATGGCAGGGTTTTTAGGAAGTGGTTCCTTTGTTTGATATGAAACTGCTTCCACTATTAGGAAAAGCTGGTTTTAAATTACAACTGAAAGAAATGTATGATAATCTTTTTTAATGCAAATCGCACTAGTCACGTTTAGGTGAGGAAGTTTATCACATTTGGCCATTTACAGTTCTTAGAGTTGTTCTAATGTGATTACTTCTTATGTTAAATACAAATACATGTAAGGACAACAAGACAGAAAGCAAGTAAAAACTATTTTTTTTTTTACATGTAGGATCTTGAAGAATATGTTTTAACAAACACTTCAAATTCTCATTAAATTCCTAACGGAGTCTTTTGGCTGCACAGTGTTGGTGAATTGTTCTGGTGCATTGTTCTTAATGAGTTACCATATTAAGGCGACACTAAATGACAAAGTGACTCTCTGTCGGTGTGAAGACAGGGTTGTGTAACTGCTTTTGTGTGACTTGCATGTCAGCTTGATTTCACCAGAGATGTTTTTCAAGTGGCTCACAAAGAGGAAACGGCCTCAGAGTGAAACCTAGCAGTATGATTCTTCAAAGTAAAAACTCACAGTTATTGCATGTCTGATTTGCCTGGGAAACAACTTCAATTTGTATGTAACAAATGTGTTTTTCCATATGATGTTTTCTGTTTTCTGTGCTTTTGTGCCCAGGATCAAATCAACACTGATAACGTCCCCATCTTTCAAAGTGTCAGCTACTTAAAAACAGGCTTTTTTCTTTTTAACATCTCACACACCATCTTCTGTTTTGTGTGCTTCCTAAAAAGTCTAAAAGTACAGTGAACATACTGTATGTGTTGCTTCTCACTGCACCAGAAAGGGACTGTGTGAATCACATGTCATCAAGGAGCCAGTTATGCTTCACTGACGCCCATCTAAACATACAATGATCAGGTGGTGATAAGTTATCAGGAGGATCAGATCAATGATATTACTTTTTGCAGAGAGCTGTAGTTTATGAGTGTTTTATGGAACTTCAAATCTCATTTAAAAGTCTCCTATTATACTGTTTTTCATCAATATATTATAGGTCTCAGATATATACAGAACATGTCTCTGATTGGCTGAAACACCAAACAGATCATTGCAGCATCCCATAATCCCCTCTGTTTCAGCCCTGTTTCAAAAGTGCTGATTCTCTGTCTGTTACTTTAGATGAAAATAAGGAGCCCCTCCCCACGCCCCTCTGAGAGAGATTTGGTTACAAAGAACTTAGGCCTAGGCTCCACGGGAACGAAAACGGGTTGAATCCGCATATTTCTCTTGCGTATAGCCCTTTAAGCTCGACGACGCCGTAACGGAAACGTAGAAACAGACCCTGCAAACGACAACGGGTCCAAAGGTGGATAGATCTGGGAACGGAGCGCTCTGGGGGGTCCAACGGGGCCGTGGGGTCGCCTATACGGTCATCCGTTTCTGATAATGATGACGCAATAGCCCCGCCTCTCCCCACCTCTGCTGCTCACCCCCACAAAAGTACACTGCACACTGAATGGGGGGGGGGGGGGGATTTACCTTGGTTGGTGATTGGCTAATGGTTACACAAGCCAAAACATCATTATGACATCATAAAGTGGCCAAAATCTGATCAGCTCATTTTCAGACAGGTTTTTATATAAATGGATCAGGACAAAAAGAGAGAGAATCTTTGTTCCTGAAACTTTCAGAGTCTCTTTCCACAGAGGGGACACATGTTGATGTAGAAGAGACATGAAGAAGAGGGGACACATGTTGATGTAGAAGAGACATGAAGAAGTAGATTTTGCATAATAGGTGACCTTTAAGAACAACACTTTTAAAAAGGAGTTTTAGAGACCAAACGATACTAAGGATTGACTCTTTGTGCACCGGGCCTCACCTCTGCTCGCTGCTCGTAGACCTCGGGCCAGTTAGGCTCCAGGGTGATGACTCTGTTGAGCTCGAACAACGCCAAGTCAGCATTCTTTATGTCCTGGCATGGAGAGGAAGGAGAGGCGGTTACATTTTGTTGACATAAACCTTTATATATAGTGAACAAAACCAGGAGCAGCGCCACAAACAACTAAGAAAGCTTAAAAACTGCTGTCCAATGTTTTTACTGGAGGGCACTCTCTCCTAGCCACAGATTTAATTTGTATTCATTGAATGACACACCGAGTCATCCTCCACATACCTGAGAGTGCTGCAGTCATCATGATGCAAAAAGAAAACCTACAGACAACAACGCCTTCTCTTAATATATATCAACTACGGTTATTTTTGTATCCGCAGACTCCCAATTTATTGCAAATAAAGGAACTCCATGTATAAAGAAAACAGCAAAGGAACTATCTAACTTGTTCTGTAGGTATGAGTCATCTGCTGTGAGTAATCTGAAGACCTCGCTGACAGCTACAACGCAGTATTATATGTGTTTCTCATAAATAATCAAACACGTTTTTCCATCCATATCATTGAGGATATAATCACTTCATATCCTAATGAGGCCAAAAATGATAACTTTGATGCTTTCTGGGGGTTTTTAAAGGCTTTGTGTGCTTGTAAAATCGTATGCAAAGTGTTGATAAAATAAGTCAACTATATCTCTGTTGCACATTTCAAAGCCAGGTTGCATTACATGTGCACAGAAAGTTCAGATCACTAAAATACAAGAATCATTTTGGGGATTTCCCAAACACAGAGAAGTTGAAGACAATACAACAACATAGAACATTGTTTAAAAAAAAACTGTCATCAACCACTCACCTGTAAGCTTTTCTTCCCGTAAGCTATCCCCCTCCCATAGATGGCACTGACCAACTCCGGGTCACCCTTATATCAAAGAGTCAAAAACATATTGTCAAATGCATCAGAGAGAAAGGGAGTTGTACTCTAGGTTTGAAAGGATTTAAAGGGGTTGACAAAATAGCAAAAGTGCGGCAAAATGAAAACACACCTGTAATAAGAGTGAGAAGTGTTTGATGGCTTCATCATAAAGACCGTTGCCTATCAGAACGTAGCCTATAGCTGCAATGACAGAACGAAGGATGATGAATAACCAGGAGAACATGGCGAAAGATATGTTTTGTATTTAGAACATCAAGCAAACTTACCAAGTTCTTCGTTTGTGTTGTGGTTATCTACGGGGAAGGGGATTTTTTTCTGTTCTATAAACAACTTGGCTTGGTTCTGTGAGAGGTGGAGACAAGAACAAAAAACATGTAGGGGTTAAAAACAAAAAAAAAAAAAGAGACATTTATCAAGACGGCACGCTAAACTAAAAAAAGGAAAAAAATGGTAGCTTCCTGTGTGAAGCCAACGACACATCAACTAAATGTGGAAGAAACTCAGATTAACAAGATGGTTATCAGAGGGGGCTATATCTAAAAACATGCTTCCTGTTCCTTTGAATTCTTTAGAAACAAGTAGTGAGACTTTTCTACAGAAAAACTTTAAATTAAAACCTTTGTCAAGAACATTTAGGTGACTTAAAAGAGGTGTCAACAAGCATCTCTCAAGGCGAGCCAAGTTCGACTATAAAACACATTTTAAAGAAGGTTATTCAAAGTGTTTCACAAAAAAACATTAGAAGTGCAACAAGATCAAGGTTATTCTTAGAATTCAACCCCATTGCTAAGGACGTTGACTACAGCCGAGCAAAGTTCCTGTGTAGCAATACATATTCGGTGTATTGCTTAAAAAGGCTGTTTTGTCATTCTCCCTCTCACACAGTGCCACGTCGTATCACTGTGCGATCCCAAATGCAGAATGGCAGCATGACATACACACCATTACAGTATGCAAATGTGACAGCATGCAAATGTTGCTGTAGGCAGCATTTCGGGTTTTCAAAACAGCGGCAAGCAAACCGACAAGGCAAACATCATCGGATAAAGTCACAGTAGCAACATCATCAGAATGCGAACTCAGGCAGTGGCAGAAAGCCAGCAGGTTGTGTTTCTCCTATTTCTAACTTATAAGGCAGATATTTTCTTGATTGTTAAGGCGCCAACATTACAGGTTTTTCTCACTTTTGGGGATGAACACTAGCTCATGTATTTCCCCTCTAGAGGCAGGGTGCGGTCAATACATGTTGGCATCATTTGTTGGGTGTGGTTAGAAGTGCAACAGATATAGTACTTTGGTATACATTACACGCAGCAAGGTTGTTTTTGTTTTCCCTCAGAATTAAAAGAGATGATGTCATTCATCTTGTGATCAAAGTGTAAAAGCATTACAAAAAATAATGCGTATCAAACTGAAACATGAGCATAGTGTAATAGTTCATTAATAAATAAGAGTATATCAATCAATAATATGCAGGTCAGGTTTCTTCCTTGATACAAAAATGAAAGACTGGGAGAGCTTGTAACAGAAATGTAGTACATAGTGCAGAGTTGTTGTGCTATTATAATAAAACAAAGCTGATTATGCTTGACTCAAAAACCTACATTTCTCTCCCTAAAGCAAACCGGTAAAGACAATTAATCAGATTGAGGTATGTGTGTGTGTGTGTGTGTGTGTGTGTGTGTGTGTGTGTGTGTGTGTGTGTGTGTGTGTGTGTGTGTGTGAGATCTCACCAGGATCTTCTCTGCGTTAAGGGAGAAGACTGACTCGCAGGGTGGGTTGCTTCCCTCCTCACAGTCTGGGTCTTCCAACTGTAAAATAGAGGACTCTGAAAAGAGAAATACTCTGAGCATTTATAAAGGGGTCAAGTTACATTTAAAACATCACATATTTCAAAGAGGAAGTGCCACAACAACTGCCAAGCAGACCTGACCCCAATTACAGTGGCACCGTCAGCAATGCAGTTTGAATTACTCCACAAAGCTCTTGAGAACGAAAGTAATGCACTTGATTATTAATTCTAATCATGTTTTTGGAAGATGTTGTCCTCTTTTAACTGCATAGTTTAAGCTTTAAAAAATATATATATTGATCATTCTTTAAACACACATGCAGTTATATTAAAATATTGGGAAGTTAAAGTTGCAATTGTGGTTTAAAAAGTGAATTATTACATTGATGTTTTAGTAAACTTCCTGCAAAACACGTGCCTTTTGCCCAATTAACTTTTGTGCATATTTGAGGTGTATATTTCATGGCCATCAATCCCTTTAAAGTGAACACTCTGAGTCACACTCTGAGTGTGTCTGAGTTATGTTATAAATGTGTGGTAAAAAATAAAATATTTAAAGCATTGAAAGGGATTATTTTTTTATGTTTCCAATGCATTATTACAAAAAGATAACCTAACTTTAATAATAATAATAAATAAACCAGGCATGCCGATTGGCGAGGCGGCAGGAAAAACGTTTAAAAATTCAAAATGCATGTTACATTTGAGTTTACGCTCTTTTAGTCCACTTCAATATTTCAGATTTGCATAATAATATCTCTTCAGCTCAGCACACACATGGGTTAAACCAGACAGCAGTAATCTCAGCATAATGTCAATTTGTACAACCAGTTCACCTTTATTTTACTCCCAGACTGTACAACCTGTCCCCTCTTTGTCAAATTATCCGATACATAACTGCACTACAACTCTACAGTATAATTTGCAGTTAAGTTTGCACTACCTGCACTATGCACACATGTACTATATGCACTTTGCAGTAAGTAAAACCGTAAAAGCTTTTTTTTTATTGAACTATATAGCTGGGGGCTATAGCAGAATCCACCACAAGCTTATTGCCTTCACAATTTTTTTTAATTAATGCTCTGATAAATATGAGATTTTTCTGTAGAGCAAGTCAACACCAAAATTATGTATTTTCTGAATGGAGTTTGGTGTTGACCTTTTAGGGTAAGCCAAAAACAATGCAGTTTGTGAATGAGTTTTTGGTTCTGTTCTGTACACATCCACATACCCTCACTCCTATGCTAATAATATGTCATTTATCACCATTTCAAATCCCATTTAACCTCTACGGTAGTAAGAGCCAGAGCTTATCTCAGTTATCTCACCGCTTGTTGTTATTAGCTCATCTGTTAGCTTACAAACGGTTACGCTACTTCCACAGTGACAGTTGAAACAGAGGGAGGACGTGGCAGAGTAACAGCCGAAAAAGGGAGACTTTATTACCGCAGTCAGCCGCGTACTCTTCCCACTCGGACAGCGAGCTGCATCCCTGCTTGTGGAGCTCATTGTTGAAGAGGGTGAGAGTGGAGAAATATTCAGAGGAGAGGATTTCTCGGCTCAGGTAGAGCAGAGAGAGCGCTGCTACCACAACAGCCCGGCTGGCAGGGGCCATGTTGTGCTACATGTGTGACGCGATGAGAGCGGAAGCTGCGGCAGTTGGTTCCGAAACATAGGGACACGCCCCCCTCACGCGCGAGAGAAGAAGAAGACTGCAGACGGAGATGGTGATGGTGATTAAACTACATTTCCCAGCATACTCTGCGGCTGTCAAACCGGTCCAGTGCAGTCAAGCAAGCCGGACAGAACGAACACACTTTCAAAATAAAATAAAATTGCGATACTTTTTATTTTGTATAGCTCCACAATTTTCCAGATTTTGACAGATTTTCTTTGTTTTAAAAAAAAAATTCTTATCTTATATTTTGTATCTAAAAATGTTCACATCAGGGGAAGACATATAAAGTAATACAACTTTTTTTATATTAAAATAAATAAATAAAATAATGTACACATATGTATAATAACTACAATTAATTGGGGGAGAATATAAAATCATTAACTTTTAATTATTGATTAAATAGCAAATTACAATCTGTGCTTTTATTTTGAAGGCGGGGCAGTTTGGAACCATCTTACTTCCGCTTTGAATGAACAACATGATAGCTGTGCTGTGTTGTAAAGTTATCAGTTTACAGGTTGAAGAATGGGGAAAGATGGCTTTAGATGTGTTGAATGTAACGAAAAAGCACCAGAGTTACACCGGGATTACAGCAACGGGATCCTGAAGATAACAATATGTGTACGTTCGTTTTTATCTTCCTAAATTCCTAAAAGAGGGGTTTGGTCACTGTTTATGAATGAAGATGCTACATGCTATAAGATGATACAGCTAACATAGATCTCATAGACATGTTTGATACCTAACTTTTAGATAAAAATGCTTAATATTATCGTGTTATTCCAAAACAGCAATATTTTAATACAAATTGTGTGTGTGTTTCCAGGAGTCGTGTCAGAAGCCAGTGGACAAATACATTGAATATGACCCAGTTATCATCCTGATTGATGCCATTTTGTGCAAGACGCAGGCTTTTAGACACATTTTGTTCAACACAAGCCTGAATGTAAGTCTAATTTCCGTTCACATGGTCACAAACAATAATATATCAAAATAAACTACTCTATGTATCAACAGTGTGTAGATGTGGACATGCTCTGTGTTCACAACAGGACTCTTAAGTGACACAGAGCTTATTAAAAGTAGTGTTCACTTACAGGAAAACAGTATATAGTATATATTATTTGTTGTTGTTTTTGATGTACTGTGTCCTGATATTTGTCTATGTTGATGTTATACATGTGATGCAAGTCAAATGTCAGACTTGATCTGACCATTAAAGTAATATCGTATCGTATATATTGCATTCACTCCACGCATGGTTTTATTGTTTTGTTTTGGAAGGTTTTGCAGTCATTTTACTTTCAGTATTTCAATGTTGCTGTTCATTCGTACATACTTTTACTTCTGTGTGGTTTTGTATGCAGGACTCTTACTTGTAATGGAGTATTTTAAATAGAGTGGAAATGGAGGAAATTCAATTAGTACTTTTACTTTATTAAAGGATCTGAATACTTCACCACTGGTGTTCAGGTACTTCAAGTGTGTGTGTACTCTCCTCCAGATCCAGTGGAAGTTGTGTGTGTTCTGCCTGCTGTGTGAGGCGTACCTCAGGTGGTCTCTGCTGCACGGCACCGAGCAGAGCAGCGACCCCGCGGACATCATCCGGTACACCAAGGAGTGGGAGTTCTACGGCATGTTCGGATTGGCCGCCCTCGGTGAGAACCAGAGCTTTATACACACACCTGTTACTCTGTTACTGGCAGAGATGGCAAAAGTACTCACATCCTTTACTCAAGTAGAAGTACAGATACTCAAGTTTGATAATACTCTGGTAAAAGTAGAAGTACTGACTAAACTTCTTTACTCAAGTAAAAGTAAAGAAGTATGGGCTTCGAAATGTACTTAAGTAAAAAGTACCCATAACTTTGTGTCCTTGGGCAAGACACTTCACCCTAATTTGCTGTATTCACTATTACTTGTCTGATATGTGTAATATGTAATGTAAAGCGCTTTGAGCATTCGGAAAAGTGGAAAAGTGAAGTAGAAAGTACAGGTATTTGTGTTAAAAATGTAAGAAGTAAAAGTAAAAAGTCGTCAGAAAAATAAGTAGTGGAGTAAAGTACTGATACCAGAAAAAATGTACTTAAGTACAGTAACGAAGTATTTGTCCACTACTTCCCACCTCTGGTTACTGGCTTTGTTTACCTGGGAGTATGACTGCATTTACACTATATTTTGATTAGTCTCGAGGTTTTAATATAACTGTCATTTAGTCTGAAAATGAAAATATCTATCTGCTAAATGTTTCTCTTCTTGGTATGACATGTCAAACTCAACTCTTTGCACTGGCTTTTAATACTAGTTGAACATAACATTTTTACATCTAGTTATTGTGATTTTTATCATGTTTTGAATGATTATTTTATTATTTTACTCCCATTGTGTTATTTTATATTGTATTTATTCCCTGTACAGCACTTTGCTCAACTGAGGTTGTTTTAAATGTGCTATATAAATAAATAAACATTGAGATTGAGATTGAGAAACATATTGAATCAGGCTAAATCTTGCTGATACAAAACTCCCATCAACGCCTTTTGCACAAACGTATCATTAAATGCATGTATCTGTGTGTGTCGTGTGTGTAGAGCTGTCTGCGTTCTGCGTTGCCGTGCTGTTGTTCCTCATGGTGGTGGTGGGGGGTCTGCAGGGCGCGACCCTCGACCTCCGCCTGCTGCTCCGGGCTCTGCTGCTCTCCTGCTACGGGAAGGTCCTCCTCATCCCCGCCGTCATCTGGGAGCACGACCACTCCCCGCTCTGCCTGGGCCTCATCAAGATGTTCGTGCTCACCTCCAACTCGCAGGCTATCAGAGGTGTGTGTGTGTGTGTGTGTGTGTGTGTGTGTGTGTGTGTGTGTGTGTGTGTGTGTGTGTGTGTGTGTGTGTGTGTGTGTGTGTGTGTGTGTGTGTGTGTGTGTGTGTGTGTGTGTGTGTGTGTGTGTGTGTGTGTGTGTGTGTGTGTGTGTGTGTGTGTGTGTGTGTGTGTGTGTGTGTGTGTGGTGTGTGTGTGTGTGTGGTTGTGGTGTGTGTGTGTGTGTGTGTGTGTGTGTGTGTGTGGTGTGTGTGTGTGTGATGTGTGTGTGTGTGTGTGTGTGTGTGTGTGTGGTGTGTGTGTGTGTGTGTGTGTGTGTGTGTGTGTGTGTGTGTGTGTGTGTGTGTGTGTGTGTGTGTGTGTGTGTGTGTGTGTGTGTGTGTGTGTGTGTGTGTGTCCTCTGGTTTCTGACCTAGTGCAGCGTCCAGTGTGTTTTTTGTGGATGAATTCCCCTGAGGGAGGGAGGGGGGGGCCAGTCCATGTAAACATTTATAAAAAAAACACATACTTTTAAAAGACTTAAAATTGTCAAAACTCAAGAAATTGTGTTTTTCAAGGATGGTGCAGCGGTGGTATGAATTAGGCTTTCTGTCAAACACCTTGATAGCTCTCTTGTACAGCTGTTCTATGCAGTATTGCCTCTACTGCAATACAGTGGATGTAACTGAAACATATAGTTGGTGTGGCTCAGAGAGTTGAACATATACATTTTAGGAAGTCAGCAGCAGCATCTGTTTCTACAAATAATGTTCCCTTAACTCTGGATAATCTAAAGTCTCACTGGGAATACTGTAGGTGTCTTTGTTTGAATATGAACTTTAAACAAATCTGAAATAGGAGCTTTTAAAATAATATGAGTAATACCTTTGAATACATTTTAGTATGTAGTAACAATATTCAAAATATTAAACTTATGATATATAAGTGGTCATCCATAGATGTTTTTCCCTGTGCCCTCGTAACATATTAGTTAGCAAAACCAGATGTTGAGGTTATAGTGGAATCACATAATGTAAGGGATAGATACGATGCTGATCAAAATAAAACGGGATTATTATAGAAATTAGAAGTCATTTTTTATCTGAATAATTACTTTTTCTAATATTTGAACCTTATAGTTCAAGTATATCATTCTTCAAAAACATTTTAGAGCACCAGCAGGTGGCAACTACCTCCAACTTTGTGTGAAACATCCCCCTGCTCCTGGTGCTTCTCACAAAGACCCCCAGACAGAATCTAATTTCTCTCTATTCTTTTCGCAGTGATCCTGAACAGCAGCAGGCGTCTCTCTCTGTTGGCCGTGTGTGTCGGCCTGCTGTCAGAAACCTGCGTGGCTCAGGCTTCTGAGAAGCTTCTGTGGAGCGCCCAGGACATTTTGACTTTTGATTGAACGTCCTCAGACTGAGAGAAATGTCAGTTATCTCAGGGATGGACAAGTGATGCCAAACAGTGCTTGAGAACCCTGTACACATGAGGTTGGAGAAGAAAGGTGTTTGCTGCTCATATCCAGTTCTCAATCTGAGACAGAGAGCAGCAGAAGAGACATTATAATGACTGTTATTCTGTACTCTTTACAGAGATATGATATATCTTCATTTTGGAGAGATATTTAGGAGGTGGCATTGGTCATCCTGTTGTTTTTTTATCGTGGTTTTCAAGTGGACAATGTGCTTAAGATTCCTGTCATATTTTAATAATGTGACAATAAGTACTTCTCTGTTCGGACAGGACTGTGACTACACTCTTCACATTCTTTGGCTCATTCTGAAATGCTTAGCTTAACACACACACACACACACACACACACACACACACACACACACACACACACACACACAGTACATTGTAAGAATAAATGGGGATAATTAATAAATAAAGAATCCAGGATTTACTTTCCCATTATTTATTGCAATGCTGAAAGCGTATATAGCCCATACTGTATATATAGGAGGGACAATGACAGCTCATGTAAAAGTTTGGGTTTGACTAGATGTGGATTTTGCATCAGTGTTAATCAATTACATCTCAGAAGAGAACGAAAAATGCCTTACAAAGCGCAAAGTGAGGGCTTCAATGTGCTTGTTTTGTCTGACCAACAGTCAAAATACTAGGGGTGGGAATCACCAGGCTCCCCACGATACGATACTATCGCGATACTTAAGCCACGATATGATAGTATTGCGATTATTCTACGATATGCTAAGTATTGCGATACGATATATTGCGATATTGCAAATCCCATGGGTCATATCCATGTCCGTCTTCCCCTCCTGGTTAAAAAATGTATTTGCAATATGAATAGTTTATGTCAATAACCCAATTTGTGTTCTTTGAACCTGAAAAGGAGATGGCATTGTTTTTGTTACTTTCATTGCAATTGTATACATGTCTTAACGTAACTTCCTGTTTTATATATGACCATCTTTCGGAGGGATATGCTACACTTCATATATTAAAAAAAAAAGGTTTATATAATAAAATATCGATACTTGGCATCCGTGAATCGATACAATATCGCCACGCAAAGTATCGCGATACTATGCTGTATCGATTATTTCCCCCACCCCTACAAAAGACCCTAAAATATGTCTTTTATTATCTTGATAAGGTAATTATCTTCACAAGCCTTATTAGGTGAGATGAGATTCAAATGTGTTGTTATTGCACATAGTAATACTAAATGCAGTCTGCATCCAACCATAAAGTGCAAAGAGTAAATAAAGTGCTGATGAGGTTACAGTAATAAATATTGTTGTGATAAATATGTCGGTAATGCCAGCAAATACAATGGCGGCTTCAAAAAACTTTTCAGAGTTTTACGGGGCGTGGTTTGCAATTCGCCCAGCCAATAGAAATTGGTACTTTTTTGGTACTTTTTTGGTACCACCTCTCAGCACGCACTAAAAATGGGGGTAAAAGTTCCCGGCACTAAGTACTCTTTTTGGTGTGAACGCGACATCAGGGGTACTAACGGAACTAAACGGGAAAAGTACGGGGGAAAAGTATGGGGAAAAGTACTCCGGTATGAACGCGCCTACTGTGTTCTTTTTAACCAGATATCTCTAATGCGGCTTTCACACCAGCGCTTTTCCCTTTCTAGCTCCTAGCGAGAGCTTTTCTGGTTCAGCTCCGGTTTCCCTTTTCAGCTCCCGCTCTGTTCACACCGCCCAGAGCTGCCGAGAGATTTTCTCCCACAACAACAACGGGCCGGGGACTGCGTCGGGTCGACGATCGTGTTGCTTTTAATCATACGAAGCCAGATTAAATTAAATAACGGCTTCTCCAACCTTATACTTTTCTCCAGAGTGCCGTGGTTCATTGTTTATTAATGTGTTTCAGCGGCATTTACCGACCGCTGCAGTGCTGGCTGCTCTTCAACGGGAGTTTATTCTCCCGTTAGCGGCTCTAAAGTATTCACTGTCTGACTGTCACACAAGCAGCTGATACATATCCCCAGTTCCCCTTAAGTGAATGTGTGTCAGTCTGAATTGACGCTGTTTGGCATCACAACGCTGTTATGAAAGTTTCTCTGGTATAACATGGGTGATGTTAGCATAGCAACCGAAGCTAAACTGACTACTTGCTAAGCCGTTTTCTACAGGCACATTTTACCGGCGTATTTTTCATTATGATTCTACTTGTGATAGTCGGACATGACAACCTGTGCAGCCCATGTATTGATTCCATCCGATAGCTGCTATAATAACAAACAACACGTCTGCCTGCTCTCCACAATGATCAATAACAGCGAACGGATGGTCAAAGTAAGGTTTCCTGCACGCCTCGACGTAAGCGACGCCGCGTCATAGCTCCAAAGCTCTTGCCTCTGGACCGACAACTTTTTGGAGCTGGAAGTGAACCGCATTCCGGAGCTATGACGCGCCGCCGCTGCGGTGTGAACAGGAAAAACCGGCGCTTTTCAGGCTCTAGCTCCCAGCAGGAGCTGGAAAAGCGCCGGTGTGAAAGGGGCATAAGAGGGGCGTGGGGAGTGGCTCCTTATTTTCATCTAAAGCAGGGGTGTCAAACTCAATTTCATCACGGACCACATCAGTATTATGGTTTGCACTCAAAGGGCCGGTTGTAACTTTAAGACCAAAAATACATATATAAATATTGAATATATATAAAATAATGTATTATATTTCATTATTGCCTCTGCGTTGGATTATTATTATAACTTCATAATTAACTATGTCTGAAAGCAGAAGTCTAGGGCAAATAATTGCAAGTCTCTTCAGTGAGAATGTCACAATATGATTTTAAAAGAAAAGCCACATTCTGGAAAAACAAAAAAAAAGAAGTGACATTTTGAAAAAAAGAAGTGACATTTTGAGAAAAAGGCTAATTTTAAGAAAAAAGGCATATTTTGACAAAAAAAGGCAAATTCTGAGAGAAAATCTAATTTGAGATGCATTGTGGGACATGTCGTTTATGGGCAACGTGCTTCTGTAAAGTAGCATGTAACCGTATAATAAACATATTATATTCTTTGCAAGCTCTTGTGGGGCCACAGAAAATGAAGTCGCGGGCCGGATTTGGCCCCCGGGCCTTGAGTTTGACACCCCTGATCTAAAGTAACAGACAGAGAATCAGCTCTTTTGAAACAGGGCTGAAACAGAGGGGATTATGGGATGCTGCAATGATCTGTTTGGTGTTTGGAGCCAAACACTTCAGAGACATGTTTTGTATATATCTGAGACCTATAATATATTGACGAAAAACAGTATAATAGGGGACCTTTAAATAAATCTTCACTTACTTTCCCTGGTATGTGTGTGTAAACAAAGTGAATCCGTAAAACAAACGTCCAGAGCAGACTGAGTGTCTGTGGAATGATGGGAATTCATCAACTGCACTTTCCTACAGTATGAAGAGTGAACAGGCCCCCAGGAGTCTTTGCAGGAGTCGAGTTGTTATGAGGCTGGATTCTCTCTGAACAAAACCATCTGCTGACAGACCCATGAGATCTCATCATATTCTCTCAAAGATAATGTGATGGATATTCAACGTTTTAAGGGCTATAGTAGGAAAAAGGCTGCGTGAATCCATTCAACATCACATTTATCTAAATATTGATTACAAGTGTTTCTGTTTTTACTTCTTCACATTGTGTCTTGTCATCCATATCCTTTCTCTTGTGTTTAATCAAAGAGATAAGAAGATATTTCTTTCTTTTGCATTTCACTCATTCTGCCAATAAGTTCCCTCCTGCTGTTGATATATTATATTGAAGCAACACTATCAAAATGTCCCCCATTTATAAGAAATTGACAAAACAGTACACTGTAAAGCCAGTTAAGGATGCCAATGTTCTCTATGATGATGTTAACCCTCCTATTGTCTTCGTTTCCCCCCCTTACTTTGGTGTTCGTGGTCAAAAATGTCATTTAACACCCTTTCAAACTGTAAATATTGTATCAGACTACTGGTATACATGAACAACTGCAGTAAATATACAAACAATAGACACTGAACATGTATTGCGTGTGCCAGGTGTGATCCATGTGGGGGGATGGGCACATAAGAGCGGGAAATGTGTCAAATTGTTCTGTGTGTGTGTGTGTGTTTGTGTGTGCCAGGTGTGATTCACATGGGGAGATTGGGCACATAAGAGGGGGGAACACATCTAGTGTGTGTGGTGTGTGTGTGTGTGTGTGTTTGTGGTGTGGTGTGTGTGTGTGTGTGTGTGTGTGTGTGTGTGTGTGTGTGTGTGTGTGTGTGTGTGTGTGTGTGTGTGTGTGGGTGTGGGTGTGGGTGTTTGTGTGTGTGATCTGATCTGATCCGGATGGTTACTGATTCCTTTTCTTTATGGCGGTCATTTTTGACCGGGAACACCATGGGTGTTACAAAGTTGACTAAATCATCCAAAATCCAATGAAAGTGGTGATCAGCCGTTGTATATGTTCAAATGTCTACTGTGAAGGATATCATAAAGCCTTAATGCAATCTAATGTAAAACAAACAAGTTATGATTGATGAAAGTAGTAAATCGGTCAGATTTGACCCGAAGACAACAGGAGGGTTAAGAGTAGTTATGTGTGCGTATTCCTCAAAAATAGTGATACATTGAATATAAATATAAAACTACATTTGTGCTACTTTAAATGTAATACTATACTGGAAGCTGCCTCCTGAATATTTCTTGTTGCACTACACTCCTATGTTCTGAGTCATATTCAATGTGAAGCCTATTTTGTGACGCACTGTACTTCCTGAATATCTGTGCCTCTCTGTCATCGACAAGCCCTGAAGTTTGGCAGGGATTTATATGTTATGATGGATTATGTAAATGAACTTGAAGAGCCAGTTTGCCACGAGCTGCAGAGAAACACTGCAGATAAATGTTGCAGGATATGCTCTTTAAACTGTTGACATAAAAGTATCACAAGACGACATAAATACATGGAATTGTGATTTGTTTTTGTGCATTCGTGTACGTATGTGGGTGCTGCGTCTGCACGTGGATGCATGTTACTACAGGCGTGTGAATAGTTGAGGAGACAGCACACACACTGAGGAATGTGTTGTTAGGTGTCCTCACTCTGTGCTCCAGTCTCTGCAGAAACACAAAGTCGGCATTGTTTTCAGATTAACACAGAAATGTGACAATTGTACTCTGCAGGAGATACACTGGTGTGTTTATGGAGCCACACAGCAGAGTGATTGTAGGAAAGTAGTCCAGTTTGTACTCAGTTTCTTCAATGGGGGTTGTACAAATGACATACACCTATTAGGAAAACTGTGCAAATTGCTAAATTAAAGGTTAAGTGCTTTATAAATACAGTGTATGCTTATGGTAGACACTTTTCTGAGGTCTATGGGCATGGATACCAGATGTTCAGATGACTTCCCTGTTAGTATTTCTTTAACTGATGTATACAAGTCAAAATAAGCATCATACGCGATACAGGATGTCTGCTAAACGTGTTGACCGAGATTTGTTGTAAACAAACCCTGAGGGAGTTTCTAAATGTGGAAGTGTGGCTCAATTAGTGTGGCATGCAGTGGTTAAATGTGACTAATCAGATTACTGTAACAGCAGTCACCTTCCTGCAGTCTGCACCGGCGTTAGCCAAGTTAAAGCTGGTAGTAAATCCAACATGAAGTCAATCTACCTTCCTGGTGCATCATGCTGGTCCAAAACCCTTGGTTTTAATTTAAAAGTTCCTCCATCAGTGCGCTGCTTCCTGTTGACATAAAGACTCAACTGCAGTGCAATAGCTTTGAACACACGATGTACTAACTAGTCATGATGTTAAGTGTTTTTTCAGTTTTACGTTATCTATGCTAGTGGTTGTAGCTTGTGGTTTTTTTGGTCA